ATTTTACGATGACTTGTAGATTACATGGATTTTCTATAAAAGAGCTAATTACGGCAAATTCATTTTCTTCACTTCCAACGACAGGTTTCTGCCTAATAGGTTTTTTATAAACCACACTACCAGGCGAAATAGGACAAGAAGTTTTTCAAAGAAACTCTTATCAGGAAGATTCCTATTTGGATATCATTGAGCATAAGCCATTGAGGCCAAGAAGCAATTTTCCTCACAAAATAATATCACTAGTAACATATCTATTCGTTCCGCCAGCAGACACTGCTTTATTTTTCTTTATAAAATAATGAATACTTACTTATTAAACTATTGTCGGTAAATTTAGGTAAACTGTTATAAATTATAAATAATAATGTCCATAAACTAATGTCGACTTTGAAAATAGTTACTAACTGTCACTAGAAAATTGCCATGGCGACACCAGCCATCATGATTACAATTTTATTTAAAAATCGCTTTTTATTCAAAATCTGAGCTAGATAGGTATAGGAAACCCTAATATAGTTTGAAAGAGCAATTGAATCTGCTTCGATTTATTTAAAAAATACATACACATTTGAAATAACAAAGTTTTTTATATAAAATGTATCCTTAAAATAGATCAGCAACTTTTGATAGCCCTGTATAAATTTAAGGAACCAATACCATTTTTCAGTAAAGTTTATTTCTCTACCTAAACTCAGCATAAGAATTAATTCTGGAAAGTAATGTACAGGTTGTTAATAGTCTATTCTATTGTAGCATGCAAATTTAAATATCTTTAAATATCTCAAAAACTAAAGATTTTAAACATATTTAACCTATAATAAATGCCTTTTTTGGGCCCAAGAATCCAAAAATGAAATATAATACAGGTGTTCCCATAAGAAAAATATAACTTTGGTATGGATCTTAGTTCTGAAACACCCTGTATATTTCAAAATAATTTTAAATTGTGCACATTGTCTCCCCACATATACCCCAAAAATATTTTGTTTCTAGATCTTTCTGTTTTCGTATAATCAACCGAGGCGAATGAGGTGCGCCACCCTGTATGTATTCTTTTACTATTATTTCTATTTTTGTGTTATTTATTAGAATGTCATTTCAGTCTACTAGTTCGTTGTACATTACTTTAGTTTTTGTTAAATTTATTTTGAGACCTACTTTATTGCTGGCTGTATTTAGTTCGTTAATTTTTGTTTGTAGTTCTTCATGACTATTGGCTATTAGGGCTATGTCATCAACGAATCTTATGGTTATCTATGGCTATCTATTATGGTTAAGATATTCTCCATCTATTTTTAATCCTTTGCTGGTCCAGTCTAGTGTTGCAGTAAACAGCTTTGGTGATATTGCGTCTCCTTGTCGTACTCCTTTGTCAGTTGAAAACTCTGGTGTTGATGTTGTATCATTACTCTTGCTTTGGCTTCTTTGTATATATTGGAGAGAGTTTCTATGTAAAGCCTGTCAATACCTTGATTTGCTAGGGCTTCTGTTATTGCTCTAGGATATATCGAAACGAAAGCCTTCTCAAAGTCTATAAAGGCTACGTACGGCTAGTGGAAGTTCGTATTCTTTTGTTCGGCTGATAGTTTTATCATATACTAAGAGAAACTCTCAAAGCAATGTCATATTATTAAGTAAATTGAAATTATAATATGACATCGCTTTTAACTAAATTTAAATTATAAAAAAAATGGAAAAAATATTCAGTGGTATCCCATATGCATGTCCCTGGTGAATTTGTCGCCAATTTTTTAGCATTAAAATAATTCGCACTCATACTAACTTTTACTCTCAAAATTCCATTCGAATTGCTTTAGGCTCTTGGAGGGAAATTATAATAAATAGAAAAAAAAATGAAGACTAACTCCCTGTAGGTACGAAAAAATGTGGAATTTCCACATGAGAGATAGTATGTGTTTTTAGAAACACCCTGTATGTAATATATCCCTATTTATGCCCTGTTATCGACCTAACAAATGATTTATATATGTATAATATTCCGGCGCCTACCATGAATATGCATATTTACAATAGATGACAATTTCCCTTTATTGCCTACTAAAATATTAATTTACCATTTAGGCAACAGCAATAAAGACGACTCGTCAATGATAAAGTGCCTAATTAGAAGATTATATATCGTTTTTTTTGCTACTAATTTCTTTCTCTTTTAACTCTGCAACGATAACTTGTTAAAAATAGAAGAAAAATTACCTTGACCTGTATTTTGGGGAACTAAATTAAAATATATTGATCACTTTTTTTTCAAAGTGAAGAAAAATCGATAGTGATTATATATTCTAGAAACTCATTAATTAGTAACCTATTCCAACTCTCATTAGCTTAAATTTCAAAGGTAAATAGGTTAAATTTATTAACCTAATAACACACTGTTATAGTTTTTATATTATAGGAAAACTACGGACCTATTTTTGTATAGATTTGTAGTTTAACATACATTTTGGTTAACTAATGAAAAAGTGAAAAATGAAAAACAGGGTAAATAATGTAAAAACAGTAAACGAAATACAAAAAAACACAAATTATAGAAAGAGAATACATATAATAAGAACAATATACAATTATATACAACTTACAGATCCTTACTTACTAGGGGTTTCATAAAAAATGAGAAAGTAAGGAAAACAATATAACAAACAAATATCCTTCAAAACACAAGATTCACTTAGATGCAAAACTAAAAGAGTTTTGGACTTCCATTGTCTTTATTTATGTTGCTTACACAACGTTTCGGTCAGAAGTATCACTGACCGTTATCAAGTAATATACCGGGTGTTGCATCGTCGAACGGAACATAGGAAATCCCATGTAAATTTTAATGGGGTCAATTATTGGCTTCCCTAATTATTTTAGAGAATAATTCTATTTAGGTTTATTGAAGAGCACTAAGACCCACATTCAAAAGAATAACTTTAGATATTTTTGATTAGCTCGTTTACGAGTTATCGCCGATTTCTTTTTAAATATTTCTCCTTTCTTATGAGAAAAACTCTTTAGAGGTTCAGTGGTAACAGTTCAAAAGTAAAATATATCAATTCCAAATAAAATTTTAATATGTGCATGTCTATTTTAGTAAATACCATTTTGATTTTGTTATTTATCACGGCCTACTAATAAGAAAATGATATATTTTAAATATTATAGTAACTAGTGAAAATAAATATAGAGTGATATACATACTTGAGAAGCTCATATCAAAGCGGATCATATGATTTATAAATATACAGGGTGTTCCATTTGAAAAAACATAACTTTAATTTATATTTTCAAAAATATTTTTTTCCTAGAAAAACAGACTACGCCACTGTATTCTACGTAAAAAAGTTCTACAAGAATCAGTTTTCACCTTTTCGATATCATCCATAATAACGGAGATACGGGGCCGGTCCCAAATTGCAAAATTTTCGAAAAGACCCTGTAGCTCAGAAACGAAAAGGGTTATAAAAATTTTGTTGACAGCATCTTCCATTTGACAAAAAAGTACAGGTTTCTAAAAACCGCACCCTTCTATCTTCACGAATAACGGAGGTACAGTATGATTTCAACTAAAATGGGACACCCTGTACATCTTACAACGCGATAAGTGGTAATAACAAGTAACAGGGTGCTATTAATTCACACACTAATAATCACAGAATTTAATAAAAACTAACGTAGAAATAACTTTGAAAGTGGTCTAATGTACTTATCAATCCAACGTACTTCTCTGACTGCAGTCAAGGGTAATAAAGGACCTTTATTATCACGTTCTCGTTCAAAATAGTTTATCAGGGAAGCTACAAGCTCTTTGCTTCGACTCTTTAAGTGCTTCGGCATATTTTCAACACACAATTTCAGGAAATGAAATACAAAAACTCGAAAATTTAGTTCCTAAAAGAACTGTTTGTGCTTTTAAAGTACAATTTTTAAAAAAGGACCATGAAAATAGGCAAAAAAACGAGAATTACAAAGATTCAACAACAACACGATATTATACAAAATACTGACTAACATTAGGATAATTGTTAAATAATATACGACAACATTGCTGAAAACGGCGCAATGTAACCAACATAGCGATAATAAAATTCGGTTTAAACTAATTTTTGCAGCTTTAATCTAAATAAAATATCTGTTACAATCATTTGCTCTATAGAGTCAAATGAAGAGCTACTTGGTATGTTAAATTATACAACAAATTTAAACATTTTTGCCAAAATTTTATTTAATCAGGTTTATAGACTTTAGTGTTAAGCTTGATTTTCATACATCCGTTGTCCGACGATACGATGATACGATATTAGGCTAATTCGTTAGGCTAAGGCTTCGATTCGTTAACCGTTTCTAACCAATCGAAGTGTTTAAATTCAACCAATAAAATTAATATCGTATCAACGTGTCGTCGGATAACGGATGCATGGAAATCAAGCTTTAATGTCGATATGATTGATGACGTGCATCGGAAAATATTTTGCGATTACAATATACAGGGTGTCCCAGAAATAACTGCAAATATTTTAAGGGGTGGTAGATCTCGATAAAAGAAACATATTTTCTCTTTATCGTTTTTCAAGTCCAAAATAACGGAGTTATTTTACTTTGAAAATTTCCAAAAAAAAAAATAATTTTTTGCTAAAATTTTGAGAACTACTGGATCTTTTCTGGATTTTCTTTCTTGTAAATTTAATCTACTATTTATGTTGCCAAAAAAATTTTAAAACAATTCCGAATTTAAAAAAAAATCCCAAAAAAAACTTCATAGGCGTGTTTCTGGGGTTAAACTATAGTACCAGTTAAAATACTTGCACTTATTTCTGGGATACCCTGTATAATACGGGACTGTGCAGAATTTTTTTTTTTTTTTAAACTCGGCTTTTTCTAAACTGTCCGACCACTGGCATATTCAATTCTATCAAAAAATGAGCTTTATTAAAAGTTTTCTTTAAAATTCCCCCAAAAACGTTGCTAGCTTTTCGACCATAGTTTGTTTATTCTTTTAGCTTGCTTTAGACGGACCTAGGCCTAAACGGAAGTGCACACAAAGGAGAATTAATTACAGGAAGTTTGTGTGGTTAGAGAACGAGAGTGACTCGGAGGAGAAGCAGGAAGAGGAACAGGAGGGTGATCTATCATCGGGCGTCATTTCCGAATCCGACGTCAATATGGACAAGCGTGACATAAGAAAAATAAACAAGATAATGAAAAACATTACGATGCAGCACACGATGATGATGTTCAGGAAGATAGTCAGCCATCCGTATTTGGTTCATTTTCCGCTGGACCCGAACAGCGAAAAGAACCAACTGCTTATCAACGAAGATCTAGTCAATACCAGCGGTAAACTGCAAGTGTTGGACGCATTTTTGCCTCATTTAATGAAAAGAGGTCACAGGGTTAGTAGTTACCGTTTAGCAGGAATTTTTTTTTAATTTTTAAACAAAACGTGTTTTTATCTTAGATCTTATAAACTTCGTGGATAAGTAAATTCGCTTCATTTTTGTTGAAGACACATCAACGACATTCGACCATCTGATTATCTTTGTCTTTGACACTGACTGACCAATCATCTGTCTTTCTTTTGTGTATACAGGGTGGCCCATCGAAAACGTTCCGCAAGGCATAACGGCCAGGGTAATTTTTTTTTTCACAAAAGTCAAAAACACGTCAATTTTGTTGGTGAGGGGGACAACTTTTGTCCCAAAAATGATTGCAAAATCTTCAACCCTCTAAGCGGTGGTGTCATCCCCCAATTTTTTTCAAATGCGAAGGGGGGTCAAGTGATACCGCAGTGAAAAGGGCTTTCTATTCTCTATACTTTCCCGCTTCGTTTTTGAAAATCGGTCGAGTCATTGAGAAAATATGAAGGATTGAAATTTGAAAAGTTTATTTAAACATTTATCAGAGTAAATGATAAGGATAAATTCCTTCGACCAATTTGCTGTTTTTTCTTATTATTTCTAGATGTTTACGCATTTTTTCACTTGCCACAAGGTTGAACGATCAGGTGCGGTAGTTGCTAGATAGCTGTTCTGTGACTTGTGCGTTGCGGTTCTTCTCAATATCGTTAAACTTTTTAACAATTATGGGATACTCACTTGCAGAAAAAGTGGAAATAATCAAACTTTATTTTAAAAATAATGAATGTCGAAATCGGGTTGCGCATCAGATATTCAACGAACGCCATCCTGACAAACACCTTTATGGCAAAATTGTTCGCGAGTTAGTAGCAACATTTCGCGAAACTGGTTCCGTTATGAAGAGGCAGAGAAAATCCTGCAGTAAACGAAGCTATGGAGGTATTCGTATTCGGCCAAGTTGCCATGGATAGTATATATAGTACGCTGAGTACAAGAAAATTAACCAATGAGACCGGCGTGAATCGTACAAGTGTCCAAAGGATATTAAAAAAACAAGTTCCACCCGTACAAAATGCAGTTGGTACAAGAACTCAACGAAGACGATTTTGACCGTCGCTTGCAATTTTGTGAAACTATGAGTGAACGACTGGTGTGTTTTTCGGATGAGTGTACTTTCTTTTTGAACGGTGTAGTTAATCGGCACAACTGTCGGTAATGGGCTGAGGACAACCCCAGGGTTTTTCACGAGGTGCACACACAAAACCCTCAGAAATTGAACGTGTGGGCTGGTATTTTTGGAAATTCTATTGTGGGTCAGTTGAACGATATTGAGAACTTCATCGGACAAGTCACAGAACAGCTATCTAGCAATTACCGCAACTGATCGTTCAACCTTGTGGCAAGTGAAAAAATGCGTAAACATCTAGAAATAATAAGAAAAAATAGTAAATTGGTCGAAGGAATTTATCATTCTCATTTACTCTGATAAATGTTTAAATAAACTTTTCAAATCAATCCTTCATATTTTCTCAATGACTCCACCGATTTTCAAAAACGAAGCGGGGAAATATAGAGAATAAAAAGCTCTTTTCATTGCGGCGCCACTTGACCCCCCTTCCCATTTGAAAAAAGTTGGGGGATGACACCCCTGCTTAGAGGGTTGAAGATTTTACAATCATTTTTGGGGCAAAGTTGTCCCCCTCACAAACAAAATTGACGTGTTTTTGGATTTTTTGAAAAAAAAATACTCTGGCCGTTATGCCTTGCGGAACGTTTTCGATGGGCCACCCTGTATATCATTTTTATGTCATAAAATAGAAAATATAAATATATAAATTAGAGAAAATATTGTTATTCGGATATTAATTATTTATTGGACAATATTTACTAGTACATTAATTATTTAAAGAAAAAAATCATAGGTAAATTACGTAATAATGTTTAAAGTTATTAAGTTACCTAACATAATATACAGGGTGGTCCGAACTGTATTCCGGAAACTTTGGTATCATATTCTACAGATAAAAATAAGTAAAAAAGTTCGTATAAATGAATGTCCTAAAATGCTTAATTTCGGAGATACAGGGTGTAGAAGTTTCATTTTTATGTCGATATTTTCCAAATCATTTATGAAGTAACGTCAATATTTGGATGAAAATTGGTGTCTGGAAGTTTTTTGACATGAGAAATTTCGATTTTGATGTCAATATGACTCCTATTTGTAGGGGGCGCCACCTACACGTGTTTTAACTGTTTTTAAGAGTAACTCCCCGACGCCAATTTTCATTCAAATATTGACGTTACTTCATAAATTATTTGGAAAAAATTGAAATAAAAATTAAACTTCTACATCCTGTATCTCCGAAATTAAGCATTTTAGGACATTTATACGAACTTTTTTACTTATTTTTATCTACAGAATACGCTGTCAAAGTTTCCGGAATACAGTTCGGACCACCCTGTATATTTCGCTGAATAAAAGACGGTGTAAAAAACGATTTTAAATAACATATGTGTCTTGTTTTTTGAAAATATGGAACATACTTCAGAGGTTTTCATACTTGTAGTGTTTTAGAGTTCTTTTAGGATAAGATTTTTCCTATTGCGAACAGCTTCACATATTACTCTTTTATTAGTCATAATGTCTATTTATCCACTAACTTTATCACACTATAAAAAGAACACAAATCTAAAATATCGTCGAAAATCCAAATAAACTCTTTATTATCACGGGTCAAACAGTATACAAAAAGCACAAAAACTGACATTCTTTAGTGACATTAATTATTTTTTTTTATTAAAATATGTTTTGACTTTTCAATGTCAAAACATATTTTAATGTTTCCCTGATTACTGATTCTATTTGTTGCCCATTCATCATAGCTCTTTTTCAAAGTAGCAGTTTTAAACATTTTTAAAAATAAATTTATCTCTATATGATTTAATTTTTGTTTAAAATTTATATAAAAAGTATATTGAAATAATATAACAAATTATTTTCAAAATAATAAATACACTATCAGTTATATTTTGATTTAAAAATTTTAATGGTCTATATTTTTAGTAATTATTGTCAACGCAGCGAAAAAACGCTCCAAGTTAGCATTCATGTCTTTCTTTTTCAATAACGTATTCAGAGAGAAGGATAGGCCTATAAGATAATCTTGTTCTAATATAGAAAAATGCCCGTAAACAATGTCGCGTAAACAAAGTCGTGTGCGTGTGTAATATACATATGGCATAGCTTTATCCATGATCTGTTTTTTCCATAGCAACTGTTAAAATTGCCTTATATCTATCAAAAATAGTACTTTAACCGCAAGTGTAGATTAAATGATACTTTAACAGCGAGGATCGATTAAAAACTTTATTTCTTCTCGCACGTTTTTTAATTGCTTCCATTTTTGAACATTTTTGTATTCCTTTTCATAAGTTATTCGGGATTCAAATGGAAGTAGTTTGGATATGGCGTTTGTCGCCTCAGCCTGAATATCTGTTGGTAATTTACTTATTTCGTTTTGAGCCATTTCTGGCTCCAATTCAATCAGCAATCGACACTAAAAAGAATTAAAAAATATTGACTCAAAACTGACAACTAAAGAGACAGCTTTATTTATTTGTAGACGATAAAATGGTATTTATCCAGACGAGTCATGGATAAATACCATTTTATCGTCTTGTATAAAAAATAACAATTTTTAAACAAAATGTTTAAATCATAACAACCCTGCTTTCGACCCATCATCATCCTCATTGTGTCCATCAAAATTGATCTTCTTTTCAGGTACTTCTCTTCAGCCAACTCTGCATCGGCCTAGACCTGATCGAGGAATACATGATCATGCGCAAAATCAACTACCGACGCCTCGACGGCAGCCACGACGTTCACTACCGCGCGCAAAACATGAAGGAGTTCAACGAGGACCCCAGCATTTTCATCTTCCTGATATCGACGCGAGCGGGCGGCCTGGGTCTCAATCTGACCGGAGCCGATACCGTCATCTTCTTCGATCGGGACTGGAACCCGCAAGCGGACATCCAAGCGCAGGACCGGTGCCACCGTATCGGCCAGACCAAGCCGGTCGTCATCTATACCCTGGTGACGAAGAACACGATCGACGAGCAGGTGTTAAAGGCGGGAAAGGCGAAACGGTTGCTGGAGAAGATCGTCATTTCGAAAGGTAAGTGAGAATATAGTAGTGATGGGAAAACCGATTAATTTCAATAATCGAGTACTCGAGTTTCAAGCGATTGCAATAACCGAGTGATCGCTCGAGCGAAACATCACTCCAATTTAAAAATACGGTTTTTCGTCCGTCGCTTGTTGTAAGTACTCGTTAACGCCAAGCGCCAAGCAGTAAGTTGTGTGCGCAGGGCACATATTCTTTCGGTGATGAATGGCAAGTAGCAAGCGACGAGCAATTCGCTTGATTCAGTTTATTTCAAAGCATTGTCGATGTAGGTCGTAAAATGTTGTCCCTCAGATACGCTACGGATAAATATATATACGGCGTCGTATAAATTTGCTACCTGCAATGTATGTAGAAAATTCGCTCGGGTTTTTATCGAGTATGTCACATTAAAATCGGATTTCAATTTTTTCATTCTAGGATCGCTTGCGTTCGTCGCTTGTAACTCGTCACTTGCATCGCTCGTTCATAGTCGAGCGATGTCGGTTATTTCAATAATCGAGTACTTGAGCGAATTTTCGCTCGAGTTGTCCCATCATTAGAATATAGGATTAGTGCGTTCTCCGATAGTGGCAGCATCGGCGGAGAACGCACGGTGCCTGCCACCATCGGAGATTCCCGTAAACAACCGAGTTATAAAAATCGTCGGCTTTATAACAAAAAGGTGTATCTCGATTTAGCATTTAAAAATTTACCCTATCCCAAATACTATAATCAGTCGTGCTGAAGCCGCTTCTAAAGCCTGCTTGTTCTCGTGGTTGTGCTGCGTCTAGCGTGTTTTGTATTTTGTTGTTTATTATTTTTGTGAATATTTTGTATGGTACTGGTTATGGTTACTATCATATACATAAGCTAAGAGAAACTATCAGCCGAACAAAAGAATACAAACTTCCACTAGGTATAGCCTGTAAAGACTTTGAGAAGGCTTTCGACTTAATATATCCTAAGGGAATAAAAGAAGTCTTAGCGAAACAAAGTATTGACAGGCCTTATATAGAAACTCTCGCCAATATACAGGGTGAGTTTCCTACGATGTTCTCTATGGGTATCTCGGAAATTACTGGAAATAGAGAGTCGGTTAAATGGGGAAAGAATTGCAGTTTTGTGGGGTCATAAATATGCGCCTTTCAGATTTTTGAAAAAGTTCATGGCTTACTGGATATTTCGAAAAAAACAAATTTCGGCTATTTTAAAAATTGACCCTAATTCCATTATAAGCTATTTTAGACAAAAAGTTTTCAGATAAAAGTTGTAGATAATCACATCCTTAATGAGATTGTGTCCTCCGTTTTTCTCTAAAGCCTGTCATTTTTGACATATGATACAAACATATGTTTTTTTTAATGGAAACCATAGTTGGCCATTTTAAAGCTTTTCAGCGATATAAACTATGATATGTTTTCTTCGAAAAATTACTGAGTTATAGCAAATTCTTATCATTTTTAAACAATGTCAATGACTTAGCCATGGAAACAAGTTCAATCGCCGTTGCTCTCAGAAATGTGAAGTTGTCACATCCAAACTGTAAATTAAAATAAACAAAAAAAAGCTATTGATAAATCAAATCACATTGTAGCTTAATCTTTTGTGAGCATTTTGTTTTTTTAATCACGACATTATTTCTGTTTGTATTGGAGATACGCTGCTTTAAAACAAACGCCTCGAAAAAAACTTTAAAAACAAATCAAACATCAGAACGTAGGTAAGTTTAACCTGAAAACTAACTAAAACATAATAATAATAATACTAATAGCTCCCGTATATAGCGTTTAACGCCTTGGGAGTAGCAAGGTACAGCTTGCCATACTAGAGCCGTTCGGTATACAAGGAAGGTAATGTGGCTAGCATTACGCTTCAACCGCCTATTATTACCTCAGGATTGTGAATCCCAAGTACTCATTTAAGGCTGAGTCGACCTAGGTACCTAAACTATTTTTATTTTAATAAAAATAGTCGGCTGATGCAATGCCGGGTGTGGGATTCGAACCCCTTTACACCACCGGGCACCTACTAATGAAACATGAAAATTAAAAAAACTAACTAAAACATGAAAATTAAAAAAAAAGGTAAAGAAATTTTAAGGGACTAATATCTAGTGTCCACTCGCCTGGTGAAATTTCCCGTTTCCATTTACCGATTCCAGGCATCCTGGACTGTTGTGCGAAATATACCCAGGGTATCGGAGACATAACGTTGACTTCGGCCATCCTCAATTAAAGCCACAATACGAGCAACATCCGTTACAGATGGCATTTTTTAATCTGACAACCGTTTTTGTCATATTGCAAATACTCATATATCCGATTTCGCCTATGTCGCGTCGCCTTGATTATTTACACATAAAAGTTTCTGCCTGCGAAGCATTTTTCCGAGACGTTCGTTTTAAAGCAGCGTATCTCCAATACAAACAGAGATAATGTCCTGATTAAAAAAAACAAAATGCTCACAAAAGATGAGGCTGCAATGTGATTTGATTTAGCAATTCTACTACAACTGCTGCACCCTACAGGGTGTTACAAAGTTCGGGCAAAACACTTAAAACTTCGTCTTATTGTTGTGCCCTGTATATGCTCAAAATAAATTCGGAATAAAACGCGACACATCATTTCTGACGTAGCATCCGTTAAAAGGAATTAATTTATAATTTAAAAAAGAAATCATCAAAATCTAATGAGTGGTTCGCGAGAAATCCAACTTTGCAATTGTGTCTAGGTGTTAAACATGATACAAAGAATACAAGGTATGATATTGCGCAGGTTGATCACTACGTCACAGGTGATAAACGGCACCATTGGTAGGCAAGCTCTGCGCGCCAATTTCAAACTGTCAAAGAGATTGTGTCATCTGTGAAATTTGATTGTGTCAAAATGTGAAAATAATTTTTCAAATGTCAAGGTCGATGTCAAAACATAACTTTTGGGGTTATGTCCTAATTCTTCCCTATTTTAGGTCTTTTTTTATTAGTGGCAATTGAACAATACGGATATTTTTTTGTATGACGTATGACGTCACAGGTGGTATGCGCAAACTTAACGAAATTGGAGCCGCTATCGATCATACCTTGTTTTCTTTGTACCTTGGGTGTTAAATATTATTTAAAAAAATATAATGGCTGATTATATTTTTATTGGAAAATGATACAAGTACTGAGAAAAAATTAGGTTATTCTACATGCAGTTGACTACAGATATGACCCGGTGTGCTTTTATTAGGGAACAGCGCATAAATCATAGATTTTTTTCGCTCATGTCTAATACATACAGTTTTATTGCAAGAAATTCGTAACACTCGTTATTTCAGGAACATTTAAGACCCTTACTCCAGACGAAAGGGCCAGGCAAGACCTGCTTATAGAACTGCGCGATGCGTTAAAATCTGAAGATAATCCGGACTACTACATATTTTCCAACGACATGGAACTAAACAGGCTGCTGGATCGGTCTGACTTATACGCTATGATGGACTCTCAACGCTCGAAGCTGCAGTGAGAAACTATATGTTAAGTTTTATTTTGTTAACGTCTATCTATGTTTTTAACGTTATTATTTGTTTGTTAGTTTGTTTAGATTTAGAATGGTTATTAGATTTTTTTTTCCTATTTGAATATTCGTACTGGAACTACATTCCTGTCCATAGTGTGTCAAAAAACATGTTCCATTCCTCGTGCTGGGATTACGTAAAAACAAGATAAGATTTATTTCTTATATCAACATATATTCTGCTTGGTTTCGTATCTACAAGGGGTTAAAGTCTTCATTTTTTCTAAATTTATTATAATTTTTTTACAAGTGCTTTTAGCAATGAAATTTTGAGTGTAAAAGTTGCGTAAGCGCGACATATTTTAATGCTAAAAAAGGCCAACAGATTCACCAGGGACTGCAAGTTATTACTGGAATAGTTTTCTAAAAAAACTTTGCACCACTGACTTTTGTTCTTTTGTTAACACAATTGTGTAGACTGTTTATGGCCTATTAAAAGTTGTCTCTTGATATTTTGTCGAGGTCTTTAATTTGCCTTAATTCAAGTCTAATAGCAACCCATAAAATTTTTGAATGTCAGAAACTGGCCAAAGTGTTAAATAAATACTCACTGATTCGTCTTCGAAAAAATATGAAAAAACGTTCAATCTTCGTAATTATCTTAAGTACCCCCCATTTAAAGTACCTATATAGTTATTAGTACCTATAAGTAGTATTACCTAGTTAAAGAAAATTTCAATGTTTTGTTTCCATGTTATTCCTCGTTAAACTCGTTCAATATTTTTTTGACCTCAAAAATAAAAACTTATATTAATATTATCTAAATTTTTTTGATAGTCCTGGATAAAGTATAGTATTCTACTCGCATATAATGGCCATTATTCACTTGGACGACTTATGACAACTTCATCCGCGTGAATAACAACCACCATTATATGCTCGTTTATTCAACTGTATTATTATATCCTATTACATTATAAACTTATAATAACTTTTACCCTCAAAATTTCATTCGAATCGCTAAAAGCACTTGAAAGAAAAACTTTAACCTCCGGTAGCTACGAAACAAAAGAAAATCCGACCTATGTTGATATAAAAAATACATCTTATTTTAAAATATACCAATATCTATGATATTACAAAAATCCTTTTTTTTGTGAGGTTTGTAGCAGTCACTATATAATGTTTACGAGTATACTGTTATTAAAAAACTTCTTAAATGGTTTTTATAATTTAAGTCAGCTATTTCACGTTTCACAAAAATCTAGTCTGACAATAAATAGTTGTTTTGTAAATGTATTTTTTTCTGTTAGTCTTCTCTCAATATTCGGCTGTTATTTAGATGTATACAAATACTTATTTTTTAACTGTGTATATTAAACATAAAAAACCAAAAAATTCAAGACATTTTTTTGGGATGTCAATAAGTGCCATTCTTAAAATTCTATAATCTCAGGAAATGTGCCAAGTATAAATTAGATAAGATTAAAGATACAACGCATACTTTAACTTTAAGATTTAAACCATAGTGCTTAAGGTACACATCACAGAGAACGCTAGGCTTTGTACTTCTAGTGTTCTATTTTTCTATGTAGTATTTATTTACAATGTATTTTTAATTAGGACTTAATAAAGTTTTTTCACATTTTCGTAAAAATAACGACTTTTTTACAATTTATTTCTTGGTGTTGAACAAGATAAGGTAGATAAACTCGACGATTGTAATCAGAGAGGCTCCTATGAAGAGACCTGCCGCGCCACCTATGGATACTGAAAAGAAATGGAAATTGTTTCTTTCTATTATTGTGAATAAAACTGTTTTTGCATGTTTTGATCACGTCATATAGTGATAACCGTCATTCCCTGAAATGCCTAGCGGTTTAACGTATTGCCAGCGAACTGTGTAGCTCTTCAATTGGTACACCATTTGACTGTGTCGATAATTTATTGTGACTATTTATCTTTTTTTTTAATAATTTCCTGTTCTAAAAATATTCGGTGCATATTTTAAATTTTAGGTTTTTGCTACAGCAGCGCCATTTTAGGTCTTCCCTTTTTTATGGCCCCCATTTTTTAATGCACGAAGATATTTCTCCTTACCTCTACACTCCATACTATAAACGAAGTTTCGGCATTCAATTTGCCGAATTTATGGTTTAACCAATGCTTATTCAGATCGTGTTTTTACACATATGTTTTATTTTTATCTCTAAAACTATTAGAGATCGGTATAGGATAAGTCATCATATCAGTGGGCACCGAGTGGGCGTGGCAAGATCTAGCCAACCGAGTCAGAGCCCACCGAGCGTAACAGTTAAATTTCCGCCACTAGAGTAGTAGGAACAAAGTACTTGAAGGAATTGGACCGTTGTCTCTGTTCATACTATCTTTACATTTATTAATTCTGATGCTTTCTGTGCATCTAATTGCCTGTAATTTGAGACTTGTTTAATTAATTTTAAATTATTAAGAACTATACAATGTTCTTTATCAACAATATGTTCGGCAACGCAAGATTTATCCGGTCTACCATATCTTATCTGAAAGCATCAGAATTAATAAATGTAAAGATAGTATGAACAGAGACAACGGTCCAATTCCTTCAAGTTCTTTGTTCCTACTACTCTAGTGGCGGAAATTTAACTGAACTAAAAAGTGCACTATGACCAATCATTGCGTCGTCTGTTGGTGGTATCAACGGATGACGAATACATGAAAATGCACCGTTACGCCGCGCCGTTTTTCTGCAATACGTGAATTGACTAGGTATTTCAGAGAATGACGAATTTCACTTATTTATTGGGCATATACGAAACATCTTACCAACTAAATCTAGAGGACTTTTGACTACAACTCTCTTGAATCTAGAAGTAGGAAGAGATTGCATTTTGATGGTTATTCCATTACCTTCCCAATCAGCTCTGTAAAATTAGTTTTACTACTAGAAACGTTTTTTTTTATAAATATTGAATATACCTACCTTTTTTGATCCGAAACTATGGTATACTCCGGTTCAACACAAGAAGGTAAACAGTCACAAACCAATCCAGCTTTATCGTGACCCTTGGCGTGTATTCTGTTTACAGTTTCTGAAAAGTATATTTTTTAGAAGAAAAACAAAATGACATTCCGTGTTTTTAGTTTTTTAACATTAACCGTTAAAACAATTCAAACTGAAGGTTCAAAAGTTCGATTTATCATATTCTAAGGGATTTTATAGACTGTCTAGTCAGAGGATATACCTCAAATGGCATTAATAGTACATATATTGTTTTATTGGAAGTAAAAATTACACTTTTTATGGCGAGGCTGTACGTTTGACGGTTAGCCGAGGCTCTTTAGTGGATTTTTACTCCGAATAGAACATGCTATTTTTTTCAAAAGTCACAAATAAATTTTTAAACAATTTCAAACGTTCCAAATAATATAAAAAGATTTGAGTCATACCTTGTATGTAATTATATATCGAGAAACTATGCTTACGTTCGTTGAATTTGACACTTTATGTCAGTTTAATAATATATTTTCGTACTTTTATACTAGGCGTAAAAATGCTTTACTTTTATGCCTAGGCGTTCAAATTAGTTTATATTGTCAATCACGTCGCAAAAATTAATACATTTGTGACGTTTGAAAAAAAAACTTTTGAATTAAAATGTCAGTCAAATGTCAATAATGCCATATTCTTTCGTTGGAGAGACTATACTCTGAGGATTAACAATTAATTTCCTTACCAAAATGTTCAGTTAAACAATTTAAACCATCGATGTCACAATAACCCTGTTTATCTAAAACAGAAAAAAAAACTTATGTGTTTAATAATATTTTAATATTTCAACAACTATTATTTTCTTACTATATACTGGCATCAAGTGATGGGTACAATTACACAATCTAATGTGATTATCTGCATGGCATTGTACCATGCAAGTGGAGTAACTGTACCATTTGTGAACCTTTAGACTATCAGGTACTTCCCAAGGGAATCGACATTCTCGTTTTTCTATTGATAGGCTTTTAACGTTTTCGTCATTTTCGATTTCAATAACCTATAAAAATAAAGTGTAAGTTTGAAACAAATAAGTGTGTAGAGTAAATATAACACTTAAGACGGTATTTCATATGAATCCTTCAATTATTGTTAAATTTAAAGGGTAAAAGATGTGTTTTCTGTAGATCGTGGTGGTTCTGTATAAAGTGTGGTGTTGTATATTAAATAAACTCAACCTCCGGACAACAAAAAGCAAAAAATAAAAGGTCTGAGTTCAGTATTTTACTATGACAGGTCGAGCGATTTTAAAGTCACAGTTTAGACCTCCTACCCCCACCCATTCAGTTCCGGCTCGTGACAGACCCATTTAGGGGCGTCCAGACCAGATGAGCGAGCAGTACCGAGCGCGAGCAAACATTCAAATTCGCCCGCGATTTCAGCTGCTCTCGAGCACATGATCAGCTTCCGTCCAGACCTAGCGATTATTTGTATGTTTAAAAAATTATTGCCTGTGCGTCTTTCATTGTATTTTATAAATTGTTGAAATGTCAACAGAGAAAACGACTGCAGAGGAGATGGTGGAACATAAGTCTTTTTAAAAATCGAGTTTCTCATGGTGGTAGCAATTTACTAAACGATGTTGAAACAGAAGATTCTGGAAAATTTAAGAACTTTTGCCGAATGTAGATTTAATTGACATAAAAATAATGAAAAGTGATACCAATTACCGAAAAGCAATTTCACCTAGAGAAAGGCTAGCTATAACCTTACGGGTCTTGGCGATTTTTGTACTCCTCTATTAGTTCTAAAACAACTTCATTCGGCCATTCCATTTTTGATATTCGATCACAAACGTGGTAAACAAAATCCCGTCCAAACCGAACGTGCAATAGCGCGAATTTTCTTTGATGTACCGACACGGCGTGGAACAGCGTCTGCGCGAGCAAGCAATTATTCGCTCGCTCGCAGAGCCGTCTACACCAGTTAAGCGTTCCCATAGAACATACCCGAATTCTTGCTCGCTCCTGCTCTCTCATCCGGTCTGGACGCCCCTTTTCGATCCATTCGAGCACTGAATCGTCACTGAATAAACATTAGAGACCTACTGTTTACCGGATTAAAAAAAATAATTAGTTTACTTATTTACCTTAATTAAGACTTCATAACGGTCACCAACCGAAATGTCTTTACGAAAATTCGATTCTGAGTTGATGAATGGAACATCTTCAGGGGCGTGATAATACACCTACAAATGTCAACAGCTATATGCAGGAAATATGCAAAAACCTATCATGATAATAAGTATACAGGGTGGTCCGAACTGCATTCTGGAAACTTCGACAGCATATTCTGCAGATAAAAATAAGTAAAAGAGTTCGTATAAGTGTATGTCCTAAAATCCTTAGTTTCGGAGAAAGAGGAAATAGAAATTTAATTTTTATTTCGATTTTTTTCCAAATAATTTTGATGTGATTTAATTTTGATGTCAGTATGATTTCTATTTGTAGGGGGCGCCACCTTTCTGGCCTTAACTGTAGCTGTTTGCAGACAAATAAAGCCAAGAAAAAAGCGAAGAGGAGGAGATGCTGGTCAAAAGAGTGGTATAAATTGAGAAGCCGCTTTACCCATGAACATTTGCTACAATTTCTGCGAAATAGTGAACCTGAGTATTACAAAAATTTTCTCCGAATGGATCAAAACAGTTTTGATACATCATTAGAATTAATTCGACCAGACATCGAAAAACAAGACACTGTGATGCGTCTTGCAATTCCTGCTACTCAGAGACTTTCTGTAACATTAAGATACTTAGCCTCTGGACTGGATTTGAACTTTTTTTTTATTTTTGTTCAAATAATCGTTGGATTTTACTTTCCATAACTCTGGATGATCCCGATACAACGCTATCAAAAGTAACACAAAGTCTTTTTCACTAATGTTTTTGGGTTCCACAGAGCCCTGCGGCGTATCACCCGTGTCCGTCATTGTTGCCGTCTGGTAAACAACTGATCGAACGATTGTCAATTTCTCAATTACACGTTCAATTGCGATGTATCAATGATCTCCGTCAATGTGCTTCAATCAAAAATGCTATCAATCTCCGTCAATCGATTGACAATAGCGTTAATCGCTTCCTACACGATCAGTTAGGTGCATCAATATCAATGAGTACCATTGACAATATTATTGATCGTCTCCGGAACCCTTTAGGCTACGCGAATAAGATATGGGCCCTAGGAGAAGAAGACAACGGAGAATATTGGCTGTAGGGATGGATTACTAACTTAGAAGCGCTAGAGGGTCCAGATTAGGGAGGTCTGTTACCTTTGAGATGCATTACAGAATCGAAACAAATTCATGTCAAGTTACGAAAGTACGCGGATTACAAAGAGTGAGAAACGATGATATTAGAAAGAGGACATCGACACAAGAAATAATAATAGAGCGAATAGAGAAAAGAGGTTTGTGATATTTTGGCCGTCTAATGAAGATTGAAGACACAAGTATTAAAAAAAAACCGCATGCCAAAATCTCTGCTTTACGGTGAGCTTGTAGACGGTAAGAGGAGGCCGGGTGGACAACTGAAAAGGTACAAGGACATTTTCCACGAAAACTTAAAGGGAATTAACATGCAGAATGAGTGGGAAAAAGCAGCTCACAATAGAACTCAATGGAGAAGAGTTGTAAACTCAGTTAACAGCGGCAACCAAAAAGTAAAGGGGCAACAAAGCAATGAGATTTTTGAATGTCCGGAGTGCGGTAGACAGATAACATCACGTATCGGGCTTTTCAGTCACAGAAAAGCTCATGAAAGAATACGCCTAGCGTGACCATCTTCCTTATGTGTGTCGAATACTTGTCAGCGAGTAACGGCTGTATGTATGTATATGAAGACACAAGATGGCCAAAACGTGTATTCCAACGGTCATCCCCTGGAAGAAACAGAAGAGGACGCCCGCTTTGGTTAGGTATATAAATATGGTATACGACAAGCGATGAGAGACTGGAATATGAAAGAATATCTGGCATACGACAGAGATAGCTCTCTACTTCAAATGTATACGTTAGTAGTAATGTTTTTCATAAATAAATTATAACATAAAGATGAAGATATTTATATTAAAACATGGGGTAAAATTTACTTATTCATTTTATATACCCTTATATCTTCTTTCGTATTAATAACTAGTTTTCCTGGTCCATTTTCTCGATTCATCATGAAAATAGGATCAGGTTTTCCAGACGGTCTGCAAAAAACAATTTGATAAATTCTAGAATTATTTTTGGTAATTTTACATTTATGAATAACTCACGTAGTGTGCAAGGAATTGAGGGAAAAACATACTCCATATTCGGTTTCCAAGGGTAGAAATTTTTCGCAGCAATTGAAGTCGAAGTTATTCCACTGGCAGGTGTCCAGAAGTTTGTTGCATGGTTTTCTCAACTAAAAATGCGTAAATAGTGTATTAAAAAAACCGTGTTGACATAACTACTATGTGAACCTTGACAAAATAATTATTAGTAAGGGAGTTCAACGATAAAGTGTTAAGGTTTTCAATAAAAAGAGAATGTTCAGTTACTAGCCTACTGATTTTGCTGAAATTAGATTTACAATTGGTTTTGTTATGGTTGATGCTGAAATTCGATACATAAATACAACATTTCTACTTACTTTATTGACAACTTTAGCTAAATTAATCTTTGAGCAAGATTTACAGTCGGTCTGGCAGGAATAACAGGTTCCTGTGAAAAAGAGAATATCGACAAGAAAAAATTCGAGCGATGCTGGATCCTGGTCTCCGGTGATACTAGAATCGAAATATTGTTGTAAATAAAAATTCAATTTTTAAACTTAAAACACACGTATTTATAGGTAAGTTAAGATAAATATAAAATTAGTGTTTTTTTTTGTTAATTACAATATGTTGTTTTTATGTTTTTATGTTTTTATTAATAATAATTACAGGTCTGTGTTGTACGTATATCTGAAAAATATACGAAGATCTTAAGTACATGGGTATAATTCTGCACCGGAGTGCCGTATCGCCGACACATGAACGCACTAAACAAGTTGCAACAGAGACATCTTAGACAACTCTTAAGCATCGAATGGTTCCATCATGTCTCAAACGTATCGGTCCTTGAAAAAGCTAACTGCGAAAGTATTGAAGTCATGATTACAAAGTCCCACTTAAGATGGGCTGGTCACGTATGCAGAATGCAAGAAAACCGCATACCAAAATCTCTGCTTTACGGTGAGCTTGTAGACGGTAAGAGGAGGCCGGGTGGACAACTCAAAAGGTACAAGGATATTTTCCACGAAAACTTAAAGGGGATTAACAAGCAGAATGAGTGGGAAGAAGCAGCTCACAACAGAACGGAATGGAGAAGAATAATTGTAAACCAAGTTAAGGGGTCGGGTAAAGTGGGTGTGTGGGCGAAGGAAATATATATTATATTTCAGAAATCTGCCTAAGGCATAGCCCGATCCTGTCGTGTTAAGTCACACCTAAAATTCCAAACACACGTGCTTTAATTAAGGCTTGATTAAGGTTTGCAGAGCTTCAACATTTGCCATAAAATAGCGAGCAATTTGTTACAAAACCATATAAATTATATATCACTGTAATCACAAAATTTCAATCTATTTCCGTATTCTAACAGAATTTTAAATTATATCTTTATTTTCGAGAAAATTTAGGACTAGTGAAATGGACTCTTAACAGCGACAACTAAAAACTAAAGAGGCAACAAAGCAATGAGATTTTTGAATGTCCGGAGTGCGGTAGACAGATAACATCACGTATCGGGCTTTTCAGTCACAGAAAAGCTCATGAAAGAAAACGTCTTGCGTGACCATCTTCTGATGTGTGTCAAATACTCGTCAGCGAGTAATGGCAGTATGTATATACAGGGTGGGCCACTGAAAACTTACAATGGCTATAATTTTTAAACCAAAAAAGATATCAAAAAAATAAAAAATACCGTTTCTATAATATCGAGGGGGAATACATATGACGTATTTTTTGAACCACCCCGACCTACACCTAAGGCGGCACCCCTACTCACTTGAAAATCTTAAATGGCAACAACCCACTTGTGGCGTCTTTTTGGAAAGCTCATGAAAAATGCAAAATGATGATCATAAAGTTTTTAGGGTGAAATTGAAAAACTACCCTTACACGAACAATTAGGTGGACATTAATGAAAAAGGTGATTTTTTCAGCATAAGTTACAAATTCGGACCCAGCTAAATGACGCAAATGAAGTATTTTTCAAACCACCCCAACCCACCCCTAGGTGGCACCCCCTCACTTCTAATCTCAAGATAGCGATACCCCACTTGTGACACTTCTTTGGAAAGCTAATTGAAATTGCTACACGATCTAGACTATGGATTTAGTGTAACCCCACAAAGAAAAGTCTAAAGGAGTGAGATCAGGTGACCTTGGCGGCCACTCGATTAGACCCCTTCTGCCAATCCATTGCCTTGGATAATATTTATCCAACCACCGCCTTGTGACAATAGAATAATGCGAAGGGGCTCCATCTTGCTGAAAGTGTATGAGGTCTTCATTAAGAGTTATAATAAATTTTTTTGTACCAGCTTTTTTTTTCTCGCTATGGTTCATGGATACAAAAATAATTCATTCTATTGATTTTGATACGTTTTGACATTTTTATTTTATTTTTAGGCTCTATTTTTTTCGTTCTTTTTATGACAGTCGTTCAGCATTTTTTATACGCTTTCCAAAGAGGTGTCACAAGTGGGGTGTCGCTATCTTGAGGTTAGAAGTGAAGGGGTGGGTCGGGGTAGTTTGAAAAAAACCTCATTTAGCTGGGTCCCAACTTGTAACTTATGCTGAAAAAATCACTTTTCTCATTAATGTCCACCTAATTTTTCGTGTAAGGGGTAGTTTTTCAATTTCACCCTAAAAACTTTATGATCATCGTTTAGCATTTTTCATGGGCTTTCCAAAATGGCGCCACAAGTGGGGTGTTGCCATTTAAAATTTTCAAGTGAGTAGTGGTCCCGCCTTAGGGGTAGGTCGGGGTGGTTCAAAAAATACGTCATATGTATTCTCCCTCGATATTATAGAAACGGTATTTTTTATTTTTTTGATATCTTTTTTGGTTTAAAAATTATTGCCATTGTAAGTTTTCAGTGGCCCACCCTGTATATGTGTGTATAATTCTGCATAGATAAAGCCATTTATCATCATTTTCCAAAAAATAAATATACACACAGATATACAAACTAATTGTTATTTAACGATTTATTATTTAGCAACCGTCAGTTATTACTTTTAGCAACCGTCAGTTATTACTTCCTAGTTCAAGAAAATAGGCCTTTAAATACGAAGTTTTGGTAAAAACAGTACAGAGACCATTTTTATGTAAAATTGAATGCTCTATAAATTTCTCTTCGACGCCGTTTTTTTTTCGATCGTGTGGTATTACTACAATTTGCATAAAAATATTCTCTTACTCTTCGGTTAGGTTAAAGTCTATCTCGGATATTTGACATAGAGTTACAGCTGGAAAACTTGTGTTCCAATCCAGGTAGGTCGTCTCTGTGAGAAAGCTGATAGCATTTTCATTGTAATTATTGAAAAGCGAAGTAAACATTGTTATCATCCCAAAACACGACGCACTGAAGATAATCATCCATAGTATTCTGTAAAATATTGATTTTCTTGCATTAAAAGGGACTTTTATATCAAAATCGACGTAAAAATTAGTATACTTGGCGAGTTTGGTTTGTTGTAAATAAGTTTCCCATAACAAAGACGCAATTATTATTTCTATATGTATACCCTTACTAGCGTGTACCAGCGACTTCGTTCGCGTCGAATTAATCATTTGTAATGGTGATGATAAAGCAAAGCTAGAATTTAAATTAACATACAAACTGGATAAAATTTTCTCACATTTATGTCAGCATGAGAAAAACAATATGGCGATATTATTACATAACTTGGTAATATTTGAGGGGTAGTTTCATCTCGTTGGAATTTGATTTTCGAAAAATCCGTTTGCCAAAAATAAGCTTTTTGCGTCAAGCAGTTTAAGCAGAATCGTGGTTAAGAAATTACCCAACTTTTTGGAATACCCTGTATGATTTTTTAAAAAATTTCAAAATATGTAAAAAAAACAAATAAATTATGCTTGTCCAAGCGTTTTCCTGTAAGACTAACCCTTTTTTAAATAACAAATATTGTAATATTTGAGGGGCGTTTTCACCCTTGGAATTTGAGATTCGAGAAACCCCTCCTTATCGAACCTCTACACCCCACAGTCAATCCGTTTGCCAAAAATCAGCTTTAAACGTCAAGCAGTTTAAGCAGAATCGTGATTACTAAATGGTCATATTTTATGAAACACCCTGTATAAATTTATAAAAAATCTTAAAATATGTAAAACAACGAAATAAAATATACGTGTTTAAGAGTTTTTCCGAAAAATGTTTTCCAAAAATCAGCTTTTTATGTCAAGCGCTTTAAGCAGGATCGTGATGATTAATCAATGGTCAGATTTTTCGAAACACCCTGTATATATTTTTAAAAAATCTTAAAATATGTAAAAAACAAAATAAAATATACGTGTTTAAGCGTTTTTTCGGAAACTTGACCGTTTTTAAATAAAAAATATTCTAATATTTGAGGCGTGGTTTCACCCTCTTGGAACTGGAATTTCGAAAAATCCCTTCTTATCGAACCTCTACACCCTGGAATCAACCTGTATGGCAAAATTGAGCTTCTTACGTTGAGTGGTTTGAGCAGGATCGTGATTAATCAGTATGTCAGTCACTTAAGGATTTTATACTCGTATATTAGTATCGATAAAAAAGTAAGTAGCGTTTAAAAAAGCATTGGACTAAAGTTTGTTTATTATTAAAAGGAACTAATTTACCTCACAGTTATATGATATTTTTCGTTTCCCACGTATCTTAAGCCATGTAGATGACTGTTTCGTAGATAGTATTTTAAGTTATATATTAAACTTTTATTGTTTCGATACATCTTTATTTTCCTGAAATGAAAGAGGCAACGCTTGTTTGAAATATAAATTGCTTACATACTTTATAGGAATTATTTTATATAAAGGTTTTATATAAAAGGAAAAAAGATACAGATCTAAATGTAAGAACACAATGCCGTGTTTTATATGTAAAAATATTTTTTGAATACATCAGTTTTATTGATTATGATATAAGTATTTATCAAACTTATCTAGATGAAATTTCCGTAGAACGTTAAAATCTATAATGGAATATTGTCATTAAGAAATTAATGTGCCTTTGTGGGGCGGGATTATTAGTGTAATCATAGAATATACACTGTCTTAGATAAAGTCCGATAGTAATATAATAAAAAAACGAGTAGTACAGCAGAGTGGGTCAAAAAAATCGTCTATTTTTTTTCACTTTATACTCTGAAAAAAAGGTTGGTGACACCTGAAAAAAATTCTCTCCAAGTATGAGCTCTTAATTTTAATAGGAATCCGCCTCCGCCCTCCGCCTTTCAGTTTTCTATTTTTTCCATATTATTAGAAAGAAATCATATTTCGGTATCTGCTATTTGGAAAAATATTTCCTCTCATATGTTTGTAGGAAATTGAATTCTCTACAAAAAAGGTATCTTACAATTTTTTTGTAAACTTTACCGTTCGAATGTTATTAATGGTTGAAATTTGATTATTTTCCTTCTTTTCCACTTCAGGCAGATTTCTTTTTCTTAGGAATTGTACAACTCGTTAACAAAAAATCATTATGATACGCGCACTCATGGTTTTGTAGAAAATTCACTGCTCTACAAAAATGGTTTCTTATGATTAGTCGAGTAAATTAAGCGTTCAAAAGATATTCATCGTCAAACTTCAATGCACAATAATTTTAACAGTTTTTGATTAATAATTCGAACAATTCTAATTTTACAAATTTAAGTTTCTGGTCGTGATACATCCTAGTACATACTGTTACTTATACATATATTGATATAGGCTACTTTCTGCCTATATTGTTATAGTTATACAGGGTGTCCCAGAAATAAGTGCAAGTATTTTAAGGGGTGGTAGATCTCGATAAAAGAAACATATTTTCTCTTTATCATTTTCCAAATAAGTCCAAAATAACAGTTATTTTACTTTGAAAATTTCCAAAAAAAAGTTTTTTTGCTAAAATTTTGAGAACCACTGGATCTTTTCTGGATTTTCTTTATTTATTATATAATATATAATTTCTAAATTTAATCTAATCCCTATGTTGCCATAGTATCAAGAAATTATGTGTTTTAACTAAAAACTAAATAGATTTCCAAAAAATTTTTTGCGAAAACAAAACCCATAGGCGTGTTTCTGGGGTTGAACTATACTACCAGTTAAAATACTTGCACTTATTTCTGGGACACCCTGTATAATAAACTCGTTCAGCATTTTATAGTGATCTTAAATTAGTGGGCCCACGGAATCCCTAACAATATTATAAGAATAACAAATTTCAGATAAGTTTTTGGAACAGAGAACTTCTATAGTAGTTACTTTCACGCTAGAAACTTACATTTGTAAAAATTTTCCCGAAACTCGTAAAATAAATTGGAATTGTTAGTATTATCACAGGTATTATTAATCAAAAACTATTTTTGTAGAGCAGTGCATTTTCTACAAAACTGAGTTGCGCGTATCAAAATGATTTTTTGTTAACGAGTTAAAAAATTCATAAAAAAAGACATCCGCCTGAAAATAATTAAACTTCAACCTTTAATAACTTTCGAACGGTGAGGTTTACAAAAACATTGTAAGAGACATTTTTTGTAGAGAATACAATTTCATACAAATATATGTGACGAGATATTTTTTCCAAATAGGAGATACCGAGATATGAATTTTTCTTTCTAATAATAAGGAAAAAACAGAAAATTGAAAGGCGGAGGACCATCCTATTAAAATTAAGAACTCATACTTGGAGAGAATTTTTTAAGGTCGTGTCTACCAACCTTTTTTTCTGAGTATAAAGTGATAAAAATAGTCGATTTTTTTGACCCACCCTACAGTACAATCAATGGCAGTTTAACTCCCATCAAATTACCCCCGCTCTCATACTTTACTAGTCGTTAACCTCACCGTTTTTGAGAAACTCAAAAAAATTTTAGATTCGATATTAAATAGTCACAGTTTAAGAAACAAAATGATACATTTGTTTTAACGTATTAAAATAAATATATGAAGAAATAGGGTAATACATTTCACTGTTTTCAGTTTTATATTTTACTTATATTGATTTATTTATTCTTTAAACTTGACTTACTAACGATAATATCTATAACAAGTGTTAAAAAACTTTTACTATAGGTAAGTTTGATATTTCATGTTATACAGTGAAGAAATAATAAGAAAATCTTACTTTTTCTACTTAAAAAAACGTCCCGCCTTTTCAAATTCTTTTTTTGACGCGGCTAATTGACCACAGCACACAGCAGCTTTTTCAACCAAACTTTTTAGTTGTTGCTTTAATTTTGAGTTCATAGATGGCACCCTATAATTATTTATCGGTAAACAGGTTCCTATATTTTATATATCGAGCGCCGCCTATGTTGTGATAGCAGGACTAAAAATTTATTTGTGGCGACATCTGTGAACTAATTGCTGAACTAATGCTTGTTCTTGCGCCATCTATATATCAAAAGCTAAACTAATTCTGAATTGACGCCATCTGTGAGAATTTCTTAGAACTTATTCTCCGTCTTTGTCTATTTTTTTCTCTCTCGCACTCGTTGCATAAGTTTATCCTTTTTTACCACTCTGTCTGTCTCTTTCACACCCATTAAAAATTTGTGTCAAATAAAAATTTTTGTAAATATCTTTGCGAAATAAATAATGTTGTGTGAAATAAACCTTTATTTTTGTAGAAGTAAAAAATAGAAGACATAGGATCATAGACATAGGATATTGTTAGATAATTAAAAATAAATTAATAATTTAAAATAATAAAGCACCTCTACAATACCTAAGAACATCGCAGTTGATTGAAAATGCGTATTTAAACCAAGTAAAAAAATCATTCTTTCTTTATTACAGCATATTTTATCTTTTATTGTTTTACAGAGTTCCTTCAAGCACTGACAAAGGAAGTAATTTTCATAGAAGAAGGCAACAGTAACTTTTAAGGAGGAATGAAGAATGAAGTTACGAAGGAAGTCTGTTGTACTTTAATAAAACTTTGTCGAGATCAGTCAATCATTGGTTCTTTAGGTAAGTAAAGGAATGTAAAACCACAGTAGAAGTAATTTCTTTTGGGTGAAAGCACAGGTAAAAGCTTAATTTGTTATTATAGTTGTAGTGAATTTATTAAGTTAAATCGATTCCCTCTCTATTATCCTGACAGTATCATCTTTTTAGCTAATTGCAGATTTATTATAAAATTTTCGCACATAATTGACGGCCTATGTATTTGCTGGAATGCTATAATAATAAATATACTGTACATAGTAGATAATGCATATTTCTTTAATAACTATTTGCAAATTGGTTCTAGTCTAGTAAGTAGATGGTATGTTAATATTTAATTTTACAGGATAGGTACAAAGTTGGAGTCATTTTCTATGGACTCAAGGAAGAAGATAAATGTTATATAATATCTTCACAAAATTCACTGAAGTCACCCCCAAAGTATTTGTGTTTGTGAATCTTTTGTGAATCGAATGATGGATCATCATACAGGTAAAGGTTTCTTACTTTTATTACAATTTTAATAAAGTGTGAACTTGTATAAATGTTGAAAAGAGTGGCTGTGTAGTGATAAAAAGAATATATTTGGTATTCCATTACATGTAAATTTGTATTCAAAAACACATTTGAATCCAAAAGACATCAATTTGCTTTATATATAACTTGTATTGTTGGTTGTATATACAGTCAGGGGTTTAAAAAATGCATTTCCAGAAAGTATAATTTTTTATTTAATATTTCTTTAATTACTTATAGTTTAATCTTTTGCTTTATAAGTTAAATATCAAAAGCCAATTGTGAATTCTATATCTATTTTATTTCATAAAAACAACATGAATTGTCTAAGTTAAATATTCAAAAGACAAGTCCAACTACCTATTTTATTGTTTATTGAAAAGTAATATAAGAAAAAATATTAAATATTATTTATCCTTATCTCCTTAGACCATAATAAAATAATATACTTATGTTATTAATTAGATATTATATATAGACAAGGATATTATTGTATCTTTATTTGGTAGAGGACTCCACAATTATTATTGAAGGAGGTCTAATAAATTTGTTCATGGAATTCAAAACAGACAAAGGACAATGATTGGCTAAGGATATTAATTCGAACAGCAGAAGATATAGTTCAAGCAGCCATAGTTGAACAACTAAAGGTAAATATTCTGTGAATATTACTGCAAAAAAAAACAACACTTGAATATTAAAATAAATGTTTTTTTAATGGCATATACAATACTATAATTCGCCAATTATCCAATATTTTGGTTACATAGCATACTTAGCAAATTAATTTTAGATATTGCCCAAAATATGAATTTGAATTGAAAAATATGCTGAATGAAGAAAAAATTTGGTGTTATCGTCCATCATTTCAAGGCTAATTTTTGTGCTACTTACGATATATCCATAACAAGAAGTGTTTTACACTTTTAAAATAGGTGAGTTTGATATTTCGTGTTATACAGTGAAGAAACAAGAAGAAAATCTTACTTTTACCAAACTTTTACTACTTAAAAAGGGTCCTGTCTTTTCAAATCCTTTCTTTGGCGCCACAGCAGCTTTTTCAAGCCAACTTAAATTATTGCTTTAATTTTGAGCTCATAGATGGCCCTCCATAAATATTTACCGGTAAATAGATTCCTATATTTTACATCTCGAGCGCCACCTATGTTGTTATAGCGGTACTAAAAAATAATTGTAGCGACATCTGTGAATTAATTGCTGAACTAATGCTTGTTCTTGCGCCATCTATATATCAAAAGCTAAACTAATTCTGAATTGGCGCCATCTATGAGAATTTCTTAGAACTGATCCTCCGTCTTTGTCTATTTTTTTTCTCTCTCGCACTCATTGCATAAGTTTATCCTTTTTTACCGCTCTGTCTGTCTCTTTCAGACGCATTAAAAATTTTTGTGGATATCTTTGCGATATAAATAATGTTGTAAATTAACAGAGTAAAATAAACATTTATTGTTGTAGAAGTAAAAAATAGGAGACATGGGATATTGTTAGATAATACATAAAGCACCTCTACAATACCTAAGAACATGGCAGTTGATTTCTTTATTACAGCATATTTTATATCTTTTATTGTTTTACAGAGTTCATTCAAGCACTGACAACGGATTTTAGGCTATTATTAAAAGTAATTTTCATAGAAGAAGGCAACAGTAACTTTTGAGGAGGAATGAAGTTACGTAGGAAGTCTGTTGTACTTTAATAAAACTTTGTCGGCTCTAAGGTAAGTAAAGGAATGTAAAACCACAGTAGAAGCGATTTCTTTTGGGTGAAAGCACAGGTAAAAGCTTAATAGTTGTAGTGAATTTATTAAGTTAAATTGATTCCCTCTCTAGTATCCTCACAGTATAAATAACTATTTGCAAATTGGTTTTAGTCTAGTAGATTGTATGTTAATATTTAATTTTACAGGATAGGTACAAAATTGAAGTTATTTTCTATGGACACAAGGAAGAAGATAAATGTTACATAATATCTTTACAAAATTCACTGAAATCACCTCCAAAGTATTTGTGTTTGTGAATTGAATGATGGGCCATCATACAGATAAAGGTTTCTTAGTTTTATTACAATATATAAATAACTATTTGCAAATTGGTTCTAGTCTAGTAGATTGTATGTTAATATTTAATTTTACAGGATATGTACAAAATTGGAGTTATTTTCTATGGACACAAGGAAGAAGATAAATGTTACATAATATCTTTACAAAATTCACTGAAATCACCTCCAAAGTATTTGTGTTTGTGAATTGAATGATGGACCATCATACAGATAAAGGTTTCTTAGTTTTATTACACTTTATAAATAACTATTTGCAAATTGGTTCTAGTCTAGTAGATTGTATGTTAATATTTAATTTTACAGGATAGGTACAAAATTGGAGTTATTTTCTATGGACACAAGGAAGAAGATAAATGTTACATAATATCTTTACAAAATTCACTGAAATCACCTCCAAAGTATTTGTGTTTGTGAATTGAATGATGGGCCATCATACCACCGTACATAAAACTCAATCATACAGATAAAGGTTTCTTAGTTTTATGACAATTTTAATAAACAGTGGCCTTGTATAAATGTTGAAAAAAGTGGCTGTGTAGTGATAAAAAGAATATATTTGGTATTCCATTACATGTAAATTTGTATTTAAAAGCACCTTTGAATTATTTTGATATTGTTTTGATATAAAAACATCAATTCGCTTTATATATAACTTGTATTGTTGGTTGTATATACAGTCAGGGGTTTAAAAAATGCATTTCCAGAAAGTATAATTTTTTATTTAATATTTCTATAATTACTTATAGTTTAATCTTTTTTCTTTATAAATTATATATCTAAAGCAAAAGTGTATTGTATATTTATTTTGTTACAATTATCTAAGTTAAATATTCAAACTTACAGATCAGACCAACTACCTATTTTATTGTTTATTGAAGAGTAATATGTATAAGAAAAATTATTAAATATTATTTATCTTTATCTCCACTATTTATTTCACAATAAAATAATACTCTTATGTTATTATTTAGATATTATAGTATATTTATTTGTAGGACTTTGTTCATGGAATACAAAACACACAAAGGACAATGATTGGCTAAGGGTATTTATTCGAACAGCAGAAGATATAGTTCAAACAGCCATACTTGAACAACTAAAGGTAAATTTTCTGTGAATATTACTGCAAAAAAAAACAAATACTCAAATATTAAAATAAATGTTTTTTTTAATGGCATATACAATACTATAATTCGCCAGTGATCTAATATTTTGGTTACATAGCATACTTAGCAAATTTATTTTAGATATTATTGCCCAAAATATGAATTTGAATTGAAAAATATGCTGACTGAAGAAAAAATTTGGTGTTATCGTCCGTCACTTCAAGGCTAATTTTTTCCCCTAATACACGAATTGTGTGAGCACTCTGTATATTATATGCCGTTATATAAGAGTCTCGATTTCTCTGAATAAGGGTTCTAAACTAAATATTTTATATAAACGTTATAAGACCAAGATGTTCTTCTTGACGAAATGGTGAATGCGCCTATTAAAAAATGTTTAAATTTAAATTTTTTTGTTAAATTTCTTCATAGACTTAAAAATGTAAACGTAAAATTGAGATATCAACGTAAATTCTGATACCGTATAATAACGGCGTCAGCGATAGCTATGAAATAAAGATCGCTGTCATTTTATATGTAAAATTATATGGGGAAATGTCATCGATCGTCATTTCATGGCCATCGCTGACGCCGTTTTTATTCGATTATATGGTATTTACATAGTAATTTCGCTACAAATGCGTGTATTTTTATATATTTTAACTTAGCATTCGATTGATATAATACAGTATGTTCCTATACCAGGTGTTTTTCAAAAGTGGCTCACTCAAATAAATTGTTTATTTTTTCAGATAAAAAAACAACTTTTCACATATATTTAATATTAGTCTAGAGTGCTACGACAATAATCATAACTACCATGTGATGTCCAGTTGTCTTGGAAATGACGATCGATGACATTTCCCATATAATTTTACATGTCAAATAACAGCTATCTTCATTTCATAGCCATCGCTGACGTCGTTTTTTTTTCGATCATATTTAAGTGTTCTCTATATTAATATTATTTTTATGGATTTATTGTTATTCATAACGATAATCAATATTATTTATAGTTAAACAGATTTGTGTTCAAATAAGAACTGCTGAGAGTTTGATTTCCCTTGATTCTTAAACCAGTGACATTTTACATTTATTTAATTTTAATCCAGTAATTTTTTTTATTACAGGTTTGGGTCTATGAAACATATCACCCAGTAAGCTGATTAACTAGACTCCTTCCTACATTCCAACGATACTGCAAGATATCCATAACTACCAGAGCTTCAACACCAGCTGGATTTTATTTACTTTAATTTAATTTCTTATAAAATATTTAGTATTTTTAGGTGACCATTATATTAAACACAATTACATTTAAATAAATAAAACTCACAGACCTTTTAAATTTATTTTTATTTACCCTGTATATGACCTTTTTGCTCTTGTATGTTCCTGATAGAAATCCAAAATATTCCTCGACTTTTAGCAAAACTTCCATAAAATTCCCTTCAAAATATTAAATTTCTATCAGGAGAATATAAAGAGCAAGGAGGTATATATGAGATCCCAATAACCAAATTCTCTCTTATGTACACCTGATACAAATCTGAGAAAATTCAATTTTTGTCAAAGCACGAAAATCACTGACTTCTATCAGGAGCATATAAGTGTGAAGAGGTAAGAAGTAAATTGAGTACCAATATTTATCTAGTCGCTCTTATGTGCTCCTGATACATATCCGAGAAAATTCAATTTTAGTCAAACACCGCACGAAAATTTTTAAACCTAGTCAAAAATCGCCGATTTCTATCAGGAACGCATAAAAATGAAGAAGTAGGGAGCAAATTTTGTAAACACGTAAATATAGCATTAATCAACGATATTTCTGCTGGCTCTAGCACTTCGACCTCGTTTCCAAAATTCAACCCTTAATATCTCGGAAACTATAAGGGCTAGAGAGGAACGGAAGTCGGCATTCGATAGGCATTTCAACCCTCTATAAGGGCGCAAAACGAGGGCGCGATCGGAAACAAAAAAAAATTTTGGCGAAAAATGAGGTAAGGGGTTAACCTTCCTTCATTTTTGTCCAAAATTTTTTTTTGTCTCCGATCGCCCCCTAATTATGCACCCTTATAGAGGGTTGAAAGGCCAATCGAATGCCGTCTTCCGTTCCTCGATATCTCTTATAGTTTGGCCGTAATGGCCGTTTTTCGAAAAAATCTAACTCGTTCGAGCTCGTTGGTCAAGTCCTCTGATTTTTACCAAGTGGAATTTATTTTGACTACCTTTTGTTAAAAACTGACGCTTGGATTTTCGATTAGGAGCATGTAAGAGCGAGGAGGTAAATTATGTCTTTTATGAATGCCTCATAATATCAGTGATATATTCTATTTTTACTAGGTATAATCCTTGTATATGGTATAATAAAATTCACAATATCTGGGAAATACTATCTCCTCACTCTTATGTGTTCCTGATAGAAAATCGGTGATTTTGAACAATTTTGTCAAAAGCTGAATTTTCTCAGGAGTACAAAGAGCGAAAAGGTAATAATTACGTGCAATTTTTGCAGTTAATTCAGGTCTTATTTTATATAAAGTACTGAAGGGTACTGTCTATTCCAGTACAACTTTTTAAGTTGTTGAGTACTAGAATATACGTTACTTTTTTGATAATTAAATGACTTTTTCGTTTTGTTCGCGATTAGACAGTACTTCTAATACGTTAAATAAAACTCATTTTAATTATATTAATATATTATTAAACTCATTCATCAATGGTAGGTATATTATTTTATTAACAATAGTAACATTAAAAATATAGATATTAAAATCTAAGGCGTTGATGGACATGCTGATGTCTATGTTGAGGTAAACAGATCTTCGTTCGGAAGTAACGTTCTGGAAAGTCTTGGTTCTGTAATAAAAAACAAAGAATTAATTATTTAATCGCTAACAAGCTTGATTAAAAAACTATTATAATTTTAAATAGCCAGTAAATTTGTAGGATATATGAAATAAAAGTTATATAGAAATTTTCGTAACAAAAAGAAGTAGTAGGGGTAAAGTAATAAAGAAAAATCATAGTTCAGTTAACTGTATCTGTATTTTTGAGAAATATTTTAATTACAATATTTAAAAGTGTTCAAAACTAAAATAAAAAAATTAAACTATTAATATATGCAACTCTATATACACATTAGTGTATTTATAGTTGCCTACACATAAGTAACTTGGGCGCTAAAATAATTTATTTGAAATAAATAATTAATAATTTGTATTTACATGTTGTTCAGAATACAAATATTACGTATTTATTATATATATCCGATTAAAAAAAAGCAAATTCTAGTCTAATTTACCTAAAATTATTTAATTCCTCTTCAATTATAAATTTCTTCCTCAATGTTTAATGTTGAATTTTATCAGCCTGGTGATATCTTGAAGTGGGTTCGTTAGTTTGTTCCAAAGCAGTACAATATCCCATTCAAAAACTCAACTTTAAAAGGAGTAAGGAGTTAGAAACAATTGTTCAAAACTATACAACTCTATTTAAGTAATAAATAAGATGAAAGACTTAGAAGACCTAGAAGAACAGCAGTAAAATCAACAATATTACAAATAAAAAAAGACATTTAGAAATTGTATGAATATATAAGAAAAACAATAAATTATATTTGATAATTTAGAAATACCTAAATTAATAGAAGATTTCACAGAATGGATATGAGGCAAATGCACAAATTGGGTAGGTGGAAAATAAAAAAAATGCATGAAAATGATTGATGAACTAAGAAAAGTTTCAGCAAAATGACACAAAAAATTATTATACAATTACATACATATAAGAAGACTTAAAAAATACAATCAATGGAAGAGTTTATAGATTCATATCTGCATTGGGAAAATGGCACTATTCAGACAAGAAAAAACCAACTCAAAAGGATGACACAAAATTATACAGTTATACATTATGTAAGATACTTGGAAAGGTTTATAGAATAATATTAAAGAAATAAAGAGGTAGCTGGTCAATAAGAACTGGAAAATTGACCAAAGATTATGCTTAGCCTCCTCTAACGAATATCTAGTCAAAATATGACATCAAGCACATAAAGAAAAATCCTCCAGAGCATATAATTTCGCCCCCCTTCATCAGATTTAACCCTTGGGCGACGATTAAGCCTCACCAGTCAGTTCCCATCCCAGCTAAGCAGCCTCGTCTCGGGTCACCCTCGTCACCCATCGAGCGGACATCCACCGGGACCCCCTACAGGCGGACCCCCCTCATCATCTTCAATGTGTCCGATATCCCGCCCCCTGCGCCTTCGAGGGTCACGGAATACGTGCACGAAGTAGTCTCGTAGCTTGGGTGCCAGGTCGTATCCGGCCGAAGCCTCTAGCATTAGAACACCTAGCTCGTAAACCAGAGGGTGGTGACTCCCTTGGGTACCTATGCATGCTACATAGGTCATCGATGGCCGAACATCAGGGTTAGGGGGTGACCCGGGTCTCCTCCTCTTAGGGGAGGCTAGTTATGATGCTCTGGAGTCGATGTTAATCAGGAAAATTCATTGGAAAAAATGCTAGAAAAACCAGGAGTGGACGTCAGGTTTTTTCGAATAAATGGCAAATGCGGCAGGAATTGATCAGATTAGTCCTAATTTTGAGATTTTGCAGTGTGTTATTGTGTATTTAAATTATATTTAAACACAGAGGCAAACTAAATCAACAGAATCCATAAAAGTATAGCAATTCATGGCATATGATCTGAGAAAAATGACATGAAAATAAATCCATCCAAACTTAAATTCTGTGTCAGCAAAAAGTAGTATTAGAAGAACAACACTAAAGAAAAATAATACAAATAAAAGAACTTATGGCTTATGGAAATACAGTCAATGAAATATTTTATAGAATCAATGTGAATGATGTAATAAATAATAATGGAGGAAATATGGGAATCAAGCTATTACAAAAAAATGAAAGCCTGTGAACCATAACCAACCTGAAGTAAAATCCTAAATCTTAGGTATATGGTATGTTTTACCAAACAAATAAGACTTATAAAATACAATCATTGGAATATTTTATTAAATAAATGGTGAAATTATCGCTAAAATCAAGAAAATGTGAAATGAAAGTAAACCAAAAGTAACATGAAGTAGAATTCTAAGTAGATGGTTATCTACCAAAAAGAAAAAGAAGTGGCCAAAAGCAAGAAATTGGCATAAATTAAAAATAGATGGTCTGATTTTCTCTATGACAATAAGAAACCATAAAAATGTAATTTAGAGACTTAATTGATATTTTTTCAATTAAATAAATTTAAAAATAATAAAATCTACTGATGAATATTAGAAACGAGTAAAAATATATTTACCCAAAAGAAATAAAGTTTTTGATATACTTAAGTCTTCGTGCATTGTTGGTAATATACATGAAAAGGATAAATGCACTGCCCTGGAAGTGTATACATACATCGACTTGTACAAAATCTGTAAAAAAAAAGAAATAAATATTATTACATTTGATTAATTATAATTCTTATGTTTACTTTTTTTATATTGTTAATATTGTATATCTTAAAAACTATGCTTACTCTGCTGATAAACATTTATTAATTTATTAAAATTCTTTTAAAATAATAAATTAACCTTACTTTTAACCAGATAATGGAAGGCTAACTCATCCAGAATGATAGCAAATATCAGAATTATGCAAGTGGTGGCATGGTGGCCCAGTTCTCTTCCTTTAGGTGATCTTTATCTGCTGGTCTGTATTATTAATAATGTTCCTAAAATAGAAAATTATAATTATTAACGCCTTTTTTTTATATAAAAACGATGCAAAATTGTTAACTTAAATATGACGACCGTGTAATATTTAAACATGTGTGTAAAAGTATTTTATTTTATCTATTATATAATTATTGAGAATGAGGGGCCCCCTAGGTATACTAACACTGACTCATTCTAACATACGCAGAAAATACTCGTCTGTACAAATAAACACATAAAACATTATCATTAGGAATAAAAAACATCTTTAAACTCTACCAGAAAAAAAAGTTCACAAAATACCAAATACCTACTTCTAAATATGAAGCAATATTCTAAGCAACTTTATTTTTAATGTACAATAGAAACATCATAGGATGTTTTAAAATCCATACACTCGATTTTAAAAAAGAAAATTATGAAAATTAGAAAATATCAATTTGATATCAAAGATGATGTAATTGAAAAATTTAAAAGTGAAAAAAACTCTAGAAAGCAGGCAAAATAATGGGTACTTACAATCCTTACAATTTCAGGGGATTGAACAGGCTTTAAGGAACAGAATAAACTCAAATAGCGCACAGAAAAATCATTTTTTCTGTCAAAAAATTAGAAATATTAAGAGCGACATAACTTTCTACCAGCTTTCTACTAACAACGGAAAGATATCGCTATTTTGACAACCTTGAAAACAATTTAGTTCAAAAATTTCTCACTTTTTCCACAATGGCGCCACCTGCGTTCTTCTTCTTTTTCATATTTCAGGGCGTAAAAGAACCCTAACCACAGCATAAAAGTAATATTCTTCTTCTTTTATATACTTATGGCTCGAAACATAGACAACCACAGATTTGATGTAGATTTTCGCTTCTTTCCTTTTAAATGGCTTGAACTGCTTGAGTTTATATAGGTCATTCGGCCAGTCAGTGTTCAGAAAAAATTAGGCAAAAGGAGAGAGTCCAATTGTAATCTATGGTAAATGTTAGACAAAACAAAGACAACATGTAGATTGTGATATGATTGTGATGAAGACAACAAAAATAAACAAGTTCAGGAATTTTGCGAAAATGTGCTAAGCTAAATATCTGTAAATATTAAAAAAATCATGCCGAAGCGTTTATGCCCTTTTACGGATACAGAACAAGCGATTAAAAAGCAAGATGTATCTACCCACACGAACGGGCGAATGATTAAGTCAATGTCCTCGGAGAAAGCTCTTCAGCTTCTGTATAAGGGGGCCGCTAAACACTTTGCGAAGGTAGTAAATAACAATGATTGTGACGATAACAGCCCTAAGGTAATAATGTGTGGCGATTGCAAGAAGTTACTCCAGTTTGAGATTAAATGTTTCTACTGTAACAAGCCTCTATGTGCCGATTGTTCGTTTTGCTGTTCACGATGCCAAGAAGGCCACTGTAAAAATTGTTCGTTTGTTATGGAAGAAGAAAACACTTATAGCATTTGCTATTCTTGTTATTAATATAAGTATTAGTATTATAAATTATTTATTTACTCTTTATATTTTTTTTTCTAGAAATGTTATTATTTGATTTAAATAAAGCTGTTTTACACCAATGCTTGTGTGACATTAATTCTTCCTCGAGGAGACGAGAAACCTTATTGTTGGTGGGGAAGCTCCTAGAGGTGTTAGGGGGCCAAGTGATATAGGGTATTCAGTTTAAAAACTGGAAGAAAAAATATTTTATGGTGTATAATTTTGAACATCCGATATGATTTAAGATTACAATATTTATAATAAAGTAAGTACAGACTTTTTATTGTTTATGGTACAGATCAAATTGCTTAAAATAAATTTATTGGAGCTGTAGGTTTAGATAAAAAAAATGAGATTAGTTTTAAAATATAAATATATTTTTATACATAAGTCCAAAATTATTTACATTAAAAATTATTCTGACGAGAAACACTGAATGTAATCATAATAAATTATTTAATACTATAAAAAATCTTACAATAATATTAATGTCACAGAATTAATATCCTAAGCAGTCTTTGTAAAATCAAATCCATTTATACACCGTCAGTAAAAGAAAAAACAACAAATTAAAACTTAAGGGAACACAATTATTTGGAAATACTCGTTCCTCTAATTTATCTGTACAAAAAATAGTAAACTTTTCCGATATAAATTTAAAAAAACTTAATAAAAAATGTTATTTTGTTAATCTTTGATTAAAGGCTAATACAGCTGACTAACTACCAATTAACCTTAAAGAAAGCGTTAAAATGGAAAATATTGAATCTTTGCAAAATTCATGGTATAGAATAAAAATTGAGCAATTCAAACTTAGCCCTAAATTAAATTTTGCAATAAAATCTCATTTATGAATGTTTTACATATCAAAAAGTAAAAAATTACCGTACACTAAGATGAGAGGAAATAGGGAAATACCAAGAATACTCAGTAAAACTTTGACATCAATAATAAACTAGGATGTTGATCCAATAATCCGTTATAAATTACAATTCCAAAATGAAAGCTTCAAGTAATGTTATAGTTTATTATTTCAGTACAGTATGGTCCCATTTTTTAAAGTTCTTGATTTCACTATAGGCTTGGTCCATTTCAGTTGATTTTAAAAATCCCGACCGCAGCGCTCGATACGGCAGAAATGAAAAGTTTTCGCTCTGTATTTCACGCAGTTCCGATGTTGATCGCATTGAAATAATATTAAACTCGTGACTTTGTCGTAATATTTAAGTATTTTAGTTTTTAATAGTGCAGTTATTGAAACTATAAAACACTCAGGTACGAGGTTTGTGCGATGTAATGTTGTTTCGGGTAGTAAAAATTAAGTGAAAAAAAACTCGAACTGGGCATCGCATTGTGTTCTGACAATTTCAAATGTTAATAATTAATTAATGTTTCTTATGAATATATATTTTCTAAAATTATAATTACGTACTTTCTCCGATGGTGGCAGCACCGGCGGAGAATGCACCAAGCCTATTGTTAAATAAATAAAATTGCATTTCCGCCAATGTAATGCCGAGTATGACAATTTTTATGTATAAAGATAGTAAATATTCGCAAAAACCGGCAATCTTTTTACCTTCAACAACAGCGGAGATATTTAGTTAAGGACAGCGAATATGGAACATACTGTAGACTCAAAATTTTACTGGTCGAGAGTTTGGTGGGAGTGCTAGATGCACCAAAATGCTATTGTATATAAACAGTTAATACTTTATATTAATATTATATCTAATTTGTTGGGGGGATTACTGGAAAACTGGACTGTCTAATGACTGAAAAAAGCCACGGCGTTTATATGTACAGAATTGTCAACTATATTGTTTCCCTATCACTGTTACACAGTATATATAGATATATAGATTGATGTAATTTGCATAAAAAATGCCAAAATTCTTTTTTTTTGGTTATTGGGTATGCTAAAAAAATCTGTCCCAACCTTTTTATAACTTAATATATAAAATCTCAACATTTATTACCAACATTTTGGCACACCTATTCCATGAAGAATGAATTCTTTCTTAAATAAGGCAGTATGTTATGTAATTAATATTATTCTCAATGAAAAAAAAACTATTCCGAGACGTTATAAAATTCCAATTCACAATAAAGATTACAATTCTGTACATTAAGCATGTTTAAAAAGATTGAAGCACTTGAATTCAGTAACTGCATCACATTAAAAAAGCTGATTTACCTAATAAGCAGCTGATATATTTGATTCAATATTAAAATTGTTTATGGTCATTAAAAACACCTATAGTGCAATCAATCTTTCTAAAATACTTCTAAGTTTTATCGTAAACATATGAAACAGTCGTTAATATGGTTTAGCAAAAATAAATAAATATGTATTTACACTCAAAAACACGACGGAAAAATTTTTCGTCAAGTTTAGAGTATTGAATTTTTTTTACTTTTAGCTCTATTTCCTTTATTTTTTTAGCAAACTGTATATAAATATATCAACTTTAATTTGTAAACTCAGTTTATTATAAACTAGATTTGATTATTATACAGGTTTAATCGAAGAGTTGTTTTTTACCCTATCTTCAAAACACCTTGTGCATTAATTTCGTGAGTAAATTTTTCTAAAACATAATTTTTCGGTCAGAACCATGTCTACTGAATATTTTGCTTTTTGACTCATGTTAACACATGCCTTGGTTAATTTTTAACATTTCGCAATTTTTTCAATTATCGTTAAACTCTTTGATGTTATTCTTTATAATATCGAGGTGGCTTTAGAGACTATTCGCGTCGAAGATTGTGCAAAAGGCATTGATCTTGTTGAACATGGCCGAAATTATAAATATTGTTTCGGTTCTTGAAGAAGAAACATAACACAATATATTTGCAGCCTCATTGGCAGTATGAGCTGACGTCTACAGACAGTTATAAACGCTGTTAAAAATTAAGAGCTCAGGAGACATGGTTCTGATCGAAAAATAATGTTTTAGGAAAGGAACTCACGAAATTATTGCAGAAGTTGTCTTAAAGTTAGGGTAAAAAACAACCCTTCATTAAACCCTGTATAATCAGCCAAATACTAAAGTTTATAAACAACACAGTTTATGAATTAAAGTTGATAGATTTATCTACAGTTTGTTAAAATAATAATAAAAATAGGGATAAAAATAATAAAAATATAACACTTTGAACTTGACGAAAAAAAAATCCGTTGCGTTTTTTTGCATCTAAGTGTATATTAAAAAGATCCCTACTTAAACAAAGCGAATTTGAAATAATTTTTAAGTCATCCTATGAGAAATAACAGTTTCTATCAACTGAATCTTATCAATTTTATCGAAAATCATGAGCTAAACCAAATCAACGCGTCAGTATCATCCTATACAAACCCTCCGGTCTATGACTTTTACCTATCCGAATCAGACTAGCTATCGACTTGGCTAGCGTTTAAACTCGACGAAACCGCAGCTGTTTGAATTTGGTTGCTGTACATCTGGACAGGAACGAAGCTACAAGTCACAGGTGTGGGTGAAAAATGTCGTTCTCTGTCCACCTTTTCCGGTCTTTCTAGCGAAGACGAGAGTTCACTGTCGTCCGATCGGTCTTGGATGTAGTCCTCGTTCTTGTACGGCTGGTGGTTGAGCTCGGGATGACGTATCCGTATCGCGTCCACGACGTCGAGAAGGTTCTTGGAGTCCATGGCCAAAACGTGAGCTGCAGCTAGCATGCCCCTAAATAAATGATAGAGAATATTTAAATATGATCTAGAACATGTGCCACGTAAATCTCCAAATTGAGTACCTCTTCTTTAAAAATAAACTAAATTAAATTTAATCATTCATTATATTTTATCAAAAAAAAAATTGACACCGGCGAATTTCTTATCTTTCTAAACAAAATTCTCGATATACTAGATATGCGAAAATGCCAATTTCACGCGTGGCTGTCATCTTTACGTCATCTGACATCTGTATCTATCTAACATTAACCGTTTTTGAAAAAAAAACATTTAAAATTTTTGGAGGACAAAAACTATGTATCAAAAAAATGTCCCAAACAAAGCCCAAATGCCAAATTTAGTGATTACCGCAGCCATAAAAAAAAGACATGTGGCAATCTATTCCAAAAATTAAATTATTCGAATGTCACATAATATAAGTCGCAGCTGTCCTGGAATTGAGGTATAATAATTATTATTAATTATTTAATAATTGAGGTAATTATCATAAATCATTTTGTTCAAATAGAAACCTACTTGTTTTTATTTCACTAGTGATTTTTGTCAGTTAGTTACTTTTTGATTAGTCATGTTCCTATACCTAAAATAAATTTTTATGGTATTTAAGACTTAGTTTTAAACAAATGTTTTTCTTGATTTTAACGAGTAGCCGATGACTTTAAACGTCAAGCGATGTAAAACAATATATCTGATCATGGCATATTGTGACATTTTGTAAAATAAATCAGTATATTATCGATCCTCATCTCCAAGCCAACTTTACGGCGTTTTTTTTCGATCATACGGTATATTATTAATGATATTATCTATTAGATATCACTAAAGAATACGAGAAGAAAAAAAATAGATAGTTTTCAAATAAATAGTTTTCTGACAGAAGGAAATAAATTGTCTGATTGTTCGAGATTTAATATCAAAGAAATCTAGATAAAATCAAGAAAAATATACGTTTTAAAACTAAATCTTAAATAACTTAAAAACGATTAATTTTAGGTATGGAAGATGGTATAATCAAAAAATAAAGAATTGAAAAACCTTTTCACTACTGAAATAAAAAAGTGGGTTTCTATTTGAAAAAAATAATTTATGATAATGTTTTAATCGCTCACTTCCATGACCGCTACAGTCAATATTATATGATATTCAAACAATTTAACTTTTGAAATATATAGCCACATGTGTTAATCACTCAATTTGACGTTTAGGCTATACAAATTTTATTGACAGACAGTTTTTCTCAAAAATTATTTTTTTCCCAACAACGGTTCATGTTGGGTTAGCGTGTTTGATATCAAAATTTATAAAATTTTACAGAGAATTTAAGTATGCAAAATAATTGGGGTACTTATTTAAAATAAGAAAATTGCTGTCAACTTCTCGTATTTCCGGAAATGCCGCCATATTAAACAGCATAAAGTTTTTTGAAAAAAAATATTAATCTGAGTATTATATTTATGATACACATTATTTTCATATAACACCGTACGCCCATGCCTATTTTATGAATGAAATTGGGCGTGTTTTGTTTACAACTGCGTTCCCCTGCCGATACCCCGTAGCTACAGATCCGTTGGTCACACTATAGATAATTGCAGGGACTCAGTAGCAATATCATATAACTCAGAGTAATATCACAGATTATAAACTTATAGTCAAAAGCATTGTTTTTCGTGGTTCCAATTTTCGGAGTCGCGCACTAGTTAGGTTACTAGTTTGCGCACAAGCACGCCCACTTATGGCCTCTAAAATTGTGCACAGCGCCTGACTGGCCCAGTTACTGCGCTGTTTAAACGCGAGTTTATTTTTGCGCACAGGAAATTTTACTCGTTTGCTCATCGTCATAAAAAACAATTTTCGCACCACGAATTAGGGACAAGATTTTTATCTGTATACATATAGTATACCTAATCTGTGGTAATTATCAACAAATCTCAACTCACTTTCTATACTCCCCGTCCAAAGTCGTACTGCTATACTGCTGCGCAAGTTTCATCGCGCTCACAAGATTCGCCATATCTTTGGATAGCACTTTATGGGCCATTTCCACCTCTTTGATGGCTGAAGGAGGAAATATGACGACCATCTGGTCGACGCTGGCCAACAACGCCCGGAGATCTAAACCCACTTTCTTCACCAAGTCCAAATATTGATGCGCCTGAGATTGTTGCACCCCCTGAGACAAAGACATCACAGCTCTCACTACGTCCGTCGTACACGCGTAGATTTTGTCGTTTGTACGATCTAAGTTTGCCGTCGGATTTTGGTGTACTTCCTAGAAAAAAAGTTTAAAAAAAATCGTCAATAACCTAATACATAAAATATTTTGTCAAGAACCAAAATTAATACCGACTTGGCATTGTATCAATTTGGGAAAAAAAAATGTAAAATATAATTTTAGTCAGCTAAATTAATATAAGACAAAGCGGATTAAAGCTTGATTTTCATGCATCCGATATTCGACGATACGATATTAATTTTATTGGTAGAATTTAAAGACTTCGATTGGTTAGAAAATTACGCAGTTTTTAAATTTATTGCATTTTCATGCCTCCGTTCATCGGATGTACGATTTGCTTGTGATTGGTGTCATTTTATATTTTCATTTCCATAACGATTTCGCTGTTTTACTTATAGTCTAGCTTAGTTTTACTTAAAGAGCTAGCAACGTTTTCGAGAGAGAATTTTAAGAAAGCGGGTTCTTTAATATATCTTTTGTTATGCTTTCCTGAACAGAGTGTGGACCATCTGGTTGTCGGTAGACAATGCGTTCACCACCGCGCATTATATCTGTATTCAACATCTGTTCACTACTGAGCATCACAAATTCGCCCTTGCTGAAAAAAATAGCATCTTGGTGAACATCCCTAGGAGCAACTTTGTCCAAATTTAACCATCTTCGTATCTATTACGGTTTCCGAGATACAAGTGCCCATACCCCGAATTTGTAGCACCCTGTATAAGCGCTCTATTTGTAGATATTAGTTTAGTTTTAATCATCTGTCTTCTGTATTCTTCTGTATAAAATAAAATATTTAGCATTTTCCTATTCTGTTCATTTATCGTTGTGTAATGTTATTGATCTACGTCAGTGAGTTAAGAAGTTCTTAACTCACGCATTTTCATTACCGCACTACTTGTTTAGATGACTACCAAAGAGAAAAAAGTATTTTGTAAAACATTTATTTTGCACTAAATTGGAAAAATATGTTATGAGTACCTTTTCATTTCCATAGTTGTGTACTTTTTTTTCGGTGCACCATTTTTCATACTTAGAGTATGTATAGTCATACTTCTGTTTCGATCTTGCTGGAAAGCAATCCAGAAATGGCTCTGAATGCCCCTTCTTCAATGTCAGAGGGAATACCAGAGAGAACACTAATAACTAAAGTGAGAGAGACCGATCAACGTTAATTTTTGAAGACTGTGTTAGTGGCGCGGCCTTTGGCGTCTAACCCGAACTATGAGCGTATTATCGATATAGTAGGTTCCATTCATACCTATATACAGACGCCAAAAATTTAAAATTTGTATATTTGAACCAAATCTTAATCTTTCAAGTTTATAAGAAATCTTCGTAGTTTTTTTAGATTATTTTCTTGACAACGAAAATTTATTATTAGACTTTAAAGCATTAAAACCTATAAATAAAATACTGTGTAGGAACATAATAATTTTTTTAACTCCAGACTCCTTGCCATACTCCAACTCAAGGCTGCAATCTTCAGTATCTTTTTTATCTAACTTGGTTGGGAGTGAACAGGGAAGCACGGTTTGGAGCTCGCACAGAGTATCAGTCGGTATCCCGTAGGTAATGAATGTTTTTGATGGTCTTTATTCTATAACAAGAACCTAGCAGTTGAAGAAAATAATTTGTATTACTGGAAATAATACCAGGTATAATACCTAGTCGTTCCATAGGTATCAGAAAAGAATGTGATGTTTTAAATTAAAAAAAAAATAAATTAGCAATATACGATTATTATGTGCACTCACTATTACTATTAGGTATGTTAAAATATAATTACCGAGATAAAACTTACCTTTAAAGGAAACGTTTTGTCTGGGTCTCAACCACAAAACAAAAATTACAAAATGCGGAATAATCGTGGAATCTGAAATAATCAATAATGACAATAATCTGCTCTTCTGACAAGCTAAAAGAACAGGCACATTCAGTCAAAAACAATTTATTACTCCGATTTGCTCCGATTATCAACAGATTTTAGTTATCTCCTTCTAGAACTAAGAATATAGAAAAAGCTACTGACAATCTAATTAATCCTGTCAAATGTTTAACTTGCAAAGTTGAAAACTTCCTTTTTTGACCGCCTAAACGCTATGCGCGTCTGGGATGCGCGGTGACAAAATAAACTTTTCTACGAAATGCCCTATTCCACAAGCCCTCTCACTTTAGTTATTAGTTTCTCTCTGGGGAATACTTTCCGAATCGCTCATTTTTTAAAATAGTGACACCAATATTATTTACTGTCATATTCACATTGCCATGCATGGTGTTATTTGAACAAAGGTATTAAGGTAATTGATATTTAGGATAGGTATATAGTTAAGCACAATAATTTTTAAAGTTCATTGTGTGTTTTTATAGTTAGACGTAGATAAAATATTGTACAATACACGCGAGTTAACTCCATTAAGATACTTGTGTGGTTACACAACTCGTGCTACGCACTCGTCTTGCAACTTTCAGACGCGTATCTTAATGATACTGTTAACTCACTTGTATCGTAAATATCTATTAATGAATAATAGTTCAATATTAAGTGTTGTCATATTTAATATGTATCTTTCTATTACCCTCGGTCTATCAGTATCGCTTCCATATTCGAACGTCGCCTGTTGATTGGCCAGCGTGTTGTTAAGCGACGTTGCCGGAGAATGACTCTTGCTGCTGGACAAGGAGCCCGTACTGCTCTGCAAGCCGTTCCCGCTCTGTGCCAAGGTCATCTCGCCCATCGCCGTCACCAACTGGGGATTGGACGAGCTAAGAGGACTGGTGGGGAGAGATTTCTGCTGGTGAAGGAGATCATCGGTTTCGTCGGGCGCTGCCGTACTCAGTCTTTTCCTCTGAAAGAAAAAAGCGGTCTTTATCGATCTTTATACTCGTACATACATAGTACGAGTATAAAGATCGAAGTAGTTGAATAGTGAGGTAGCAGTAGTTCAACACCATGAAATGAACGAGCGCATTTATAAAGTCAGTTCATTGAAAAGTTGACAGTGCGTTATGAGATGGAGTTCAGAGATGGACAATGTTTAAGTCGGCAGCAGGCCCCAGATACTCAATAGTAATTTTATAGAACTACAAATTTAGTTACTTCCGCATCGCCAGACGGCGCAAAAGACATTAAAGTATAGGTTTCTAATTTATATATGAAGATGATATGACAGGTTCTATGTTGACTATGGTCTACGGTCTGAGATATGGTCTAGTTGACAAAACGTCAAGTTATTTTTAAATCATTATTTAGCTTTGAGCTTTACTACTTGTAAACTTATTATTTAGCTAAATTCTTTGACATCTAATCTTTGTCAAGTAGTAAATAAAAGCAAAAATGCAAGAAAAAATATAGAATTAGTTAATTTTAAGTGAATTTAATAAATGATCGGTTTCCTACACGTATGTTTATTGTAAAGTCACTTACTAGCAAAAAGTTATTCCATTATTTCCCTCGATTTTTGACCGAGATCTACCGCACGCTACACAACTAACTATTTTACAGTCTTTTTCGATAAATCGCAATGATCTTGTCAGTCAGCTTATAATTCTCTATAAGCTGACTTAACTGACAAGTGAAAACGAAAACACATGACTGACATATAATTTCTCATATACTTTAAATGGTAGAGGTTCAGTTTAAAAATTTCCTGGTTAATGATACTAACCAGGTTTGTTTCTGACTCTAATAGCCACCTAGAATCCTCTTCCGATTCGATCTGTTGCTGACGCAATTGCTGTTCCAGGACATTGTGATTAATGTGACCTGATGACGGGTACCTCACAGTGTCGAAAAACTGATTGCTGTACAATGAAATGGTAGGCTGAAAAAAACATAAAATTATTATTAAAGGTATTAAAAATGACAAATACCGAAAAAGTAATCAGATATTGTTAACGCCAACAAAATATCATTCTAAAAAAACAATAAGAAGCTAAGAAAACTGAATAAACTATTATAAATATGGCAAACTACGCAACGAATTCTAAGAAAGTCGAATCTAATAACACAAAAATAAATGTGAATTTAAAAATTATTAAATAAATTTACAGTGGGTTCCGGTGCAACGTGTGTTGTGCAATTTAAGATTAAAATGTATATTGTGATTTTGGTTCAACCAATACCGTGTGGTGCATCGGAACACTACACGGGATATAAGAAATCCCATGTAAATTTTAAAAAAGTCAAACATTATCTCCCCAAATGATTTTATGCAAAAGTTGTATTAGACTTTTTTGAAGGTGCGTTAAAGTTGTACTTTCGTATAGAAGTTTGTTTTAATTGGAACCGGCATTTAAATGTTATTTGCTTTCTTTTGAACAGAATTCATCTAGATGGAAAGGAAATAACTCATTTCCTTGGAGTCATTTTTTGAAAATAGTCTGACTGGTTCTGACTGCTACCAAAAGCAAGTCTAACACAATCCCACTTCTGATATTTCGAATATTTCACCGATACTACCGTCACAGGATGTCAAATATATGGGCATAACCCTGGACAGTAAATTTCTCTGGAACAAGCACTTTAAGAACATTACCAGCAAAGCCACAAAGGCTCTCATGATATGCCCAAGACTGGCGGGAAATAGATGGGCTACATGAGTATGACCCGTGATTACCTATGGAGCAGTTGCTTGGTACGCAAAACTAGAGCAACATACAGCAAGGCAAAACGTGTGCAAAGTACAGAGACTGGCATGAATCTGCATCACGGGTGCTATGAGAACATGCCCAACAGCAGCAATGGAGGACATCCTAAACCAAAGCCTAGACATAACACCACTGCGCATTGTCGTCGGTAGATATGCCAATACGACCATGATTAGAATGGTCATTGACGGAAACAGTACAGGGAGAATTTTCAGGTCAGTAGCTTGGAACACTCTCAAAAAGAAAATTCCACTCCACCAACTCCCAGTGGGTGACATACCAAGAATGTACAACTTTGAGAAACACCTCACTGTAGTATTGAGCAATAAAAAGAATTGGAAGAGAGGAACGTTTGCTCAGCATATAAAAGACCATACCATAACGTGATATACTGATGCTTCTAAAATTAAAGCAAATGGACAGGGATAGGAGATAGGAGTATTTGGAATATGAGTTTTTTTATACCAAAACTCTCTCAATATATACCAAAACTTTGCTCTCCAAATGAATTTAAATCATTTTTCATAATATGTATTAAAATATTCCAAATACAAAAGGTTACCGGATTAAATGATGAATTTTTTTATCCGAAATCAATTATTGAGATATCTAAATAACAAAACAGTATTGAGATGTCTAAATATTTAGATATGGAATAAAAAGTACCGAGAAAAAATCGTTATCAGTTCATATCCAGTTATTGCTAATAAATAGGATTTACCAATACATATATTTATGTTTCATTATGATTTATGACATTTTGGATTGGATTTATTTCCAGGTACTTTTATCGCTTTATTACACACTAAGATTACAAAACAAAGCTGTTTTGTATCCGTAATCTGTCGCAAAATAATCATTTTACATTGTAGTTAGATAATTTTTATTTATTATTTTTGATGATCATTACGAAATATAATTTAAATAAAAGGACTTTTCGAAACCAAACCGTTTTTTGCTCTCCTGTAAAATTAGAAATAATGGAGTTAGCAGTTTATCACATTTCACCGACGATATGTACTTTTAGGTAAGGAAGCCATAATATGAGAACAAAGTTCTAATAATAGTCTGATTGGTTCTGACTGCTACCAAAAAAAAGTCTAACACAATCCCACTTCTGATGATATTTCGAATATTTCAGCGATCGTTCAACGTTAGGTCATCATTATTTGTTATTATGCGTCCTAGTTTAAGATGCGTCTGAGATCAGTCATATTGTTTAGAAAATTTAAGTACGTTCTGAAATGATTAATTGAGTGAGTTACATTTTTATTAAATTCTTGTAGGTATGTTGGGATTTTACTCATTTTGACTGTCTTTCAATTTATAATTTTAGGCGCATAAATCAGTTTTTTTTTCAGGTAAATCGTACCTATTTTAAAAAACTTATAAAAAAACTATTCTAACAGATTTTAAACAATAAAATACACTTTGATACTTCAGAAGTTCAAGATGCCTAAAATAATAAAAATTTACTCGTATTTATTAATACGTCTAAGAAATTCTTATTTTAAAGCATCAGTAACATACTATGTTAGTAATAAAAAATAAATTTTAAATTAAAAAATCAAAAAGTTAGAATTAAAAATTGTTTGCCAAATCAAATTTTAATTCGATGTCCGTCAATAAAATTATAACCCCAAATCAAACGACAATGACATTTACTAAAAACAATATGTGTCCGTTTTAAGTGTCCAAGTTTCGCATGCCGTGAATGCTTTCTTCTTTAGATAAAGTGGTATTCAAGATTTGAATATGATTGAGTTTCTTCCATACGCGAGTTTCAAAATAATGTCTTCTGTTGATTTCTGGTAGTAGAGATCCCGAGCTGTGTATTAGTTGTCCCAAATATATATATGTTCTTTTAGTATTTCCAATGTTGTGTTACTTATTAGAATTTCCTTTCTGTCTACTAGTTCGTTGTACATCACTTTAGTTTTTGCTAAATTCATTTTGAGACCTACTTTATTGCTGGCTGTATTTAGTTCGTTAATTTAAGCTTGTAGTTTTTCAGGACTATTGGTAATTAAGACTAGTGATGGAATAACTGGCAATTAAGACTGAGTGATGGGTACTCGATTATGAACGAGCGATGCAAGTGACGAGTACCAAGCGACGAACGCAAGTGATCCTAGAATGAAATAAATTTAAATCCGATTCTAATGTGACATACTCGATAAAAAGCCGAGCGAATTTTCTACATACGTTGCAGGTAGCAAATTACATTTATCGACGCCGTATATATTATTTATATTTTTATTATTTATAACACATTATCATGGAGTTGGAAAAATATCAAAAAATAGTTGAAAACAATAAACTAAACAAAATCACTCTTTTACGCGCACAAATAAAAAGTAATTCAAACAGAACTAAAACAACAATCAATCGGAGTTTGGCGCAATCGCAGTTCAATCGATATCCGGGTGAAATAGACTTATGCAGCATTAATATGAAGCTGAGTTATGTTGTCTTTTTCTTACGGCACGGGAACAGCACACGGGGTTAAATAGGGAACACTGAGTATATATAGTTATATGTATATGGTGAAAACCCGTATTTTTAAATACGAGTGATATTTCGCTCGAGCGATCACTCTGTTATTGCAATCGCTTGAAACTCGAGTACTCGATTATTAAAATTAATCGGTTTTTCCCATCACTAGTTAAGGCTATATCAGCAAATCTTAGATGGTTAAGATATTCTCCATCTATTTTTAATCCTTTTTTGGTCCATTCTACCAATTTACTTATAACATCGAAAAAATACTTATACTCAGTATGTTTATTTCATATCATAATCAAAATCTAAAAAAAATCTAAAAATATTTTTCGATTCATGTATGTATGTAGGTACTTGAAAAAAAATATATTAAATTAAAGACGTCTTAAATATTTTCTAACGAACTAGCATATGTCACATATAATTTTAGACTCTTCAGAGAAACTGTTCAATTCTGTATAACTCTTCGCAGAATCTAGATAAGATAATTTTGTAAGCTTTTCAGAAAATCAATTATTTCCAGATTACATATTTCTAATGTTAAAAACGATTGTGTTGTAATTTCTTAATAAAAGGATTCATGTTATTTCTTATAATATTTTAGTACTATTGAATTTTGTTATAGATACAGAAAAATATGGTGTATCACATCAAATTATTTAATCATATTTCACAACATAAGTAGTACAGCTCTTTGAGGTACTTTGAGGTTTACTTTCTTAGAAAAATATTACTGAAATAAAGTCTGTTAAATACAAATAAATTCAATAAAAATTAGCTGTTTCATAGATAAATATCGTTAAATTATTCTAATATTATTACATAAATACATATTTAATAATGATAAACAATTAATGTATAAATTAATGTATTTCGATAGTTTCAGAGATATTAATAAATAAATAAAAAATATATATGTATTTTTCAGCCTCTCTTAAAAAATTATTAAAAATACAAGAACTGTCCTGAAATCAAAACTATAGATATTTACTTTAGATGTCTGTACTTACTTTATTATAAATATGGTAATCGTACATCATTAGGATGTTAAAAATTTTAGCCAAACTTTCTAATATATAAAATAATTTTTCTCCGTTTTTTTTAATTGAACACCCTGTATATTATTTTTTCAATAGATCGAGAATTAAAAAATGAACATTTTTTGTATTTAGAATATTTCAAAATTTTTAACAGTTTCGCAGATATTCGCGGTTTCATATTTCATATCGTCCCATTGCTGCCAAAAGTCACTAACTTACTTTTTATTACTTCCGAGAAAAATGCGTCTAAAGAAGAATTGCATTGCATAAAGATGTTATAGTTAGTAACTATTCGGTATTAAAATAAAACATAAATAGCCAGAAATCGTAGTTAATGACTTTTGCAATCGATTCTCCGATTCAAAACATAGTTAGTGATTGAATTTGGTTGTTCGGAAAAATGTTAGTTAGTGACTTTTGGCAGCAATAGGACGATATGTCATTTTCCATAGTAAATTTTTATCAAATCCACCCAATGATTTTTCTCTCGTATTTTACGATTGAGAGAGCCCATATGAAATAATACTGTGTGTATCTGCGAAACCATTAAAAATTTTGAAATACTTTAAATACAAAAAATGTTCATTTCTTAATTCTCCATCTAATAAAAAAAATAATATACATGGTGTGCA